GAGAAGCCACCATTTTTTTAATTTTGGCCCCGTGCTGCAGAAGACATTTCATGGTCCTGTCAATATCTATATGATTAACTATCAGAACGGGGAGAGATCCCGAGATGGCACATCGTTTCCGCCTCGACTCATGGTTCCAACCTAGCCTGATAGGACTTCCAAATAAGCATGGAAGGAAATCATGCGTGGACCCCCATGTGAGCGCACAGGGCATGGGCTTTGAGCCATGTCTCAGTACAATTGCTGGCCAGTTCACGATCGCATACTATGTGCGCTGTGAAAACAGAAGTGCCGGAGGTCCCTTGTGACAGACAGGCATCTTTGAAGATCCTTGCCACATCGCTGGCCCCCGGCTAACCTGAGAATAATTATCCGTACCTAGGCATCCACATATCATGATATCAATTGACAGAATCACATCGCCCTCGAGTCGAGCGCATGAGAGCTCCCGCCTGACTCGCTTGGTTCGAGTGAACATCATTGTTCCCCGGCCTGTGCAACTATTAGCCAAAGCGCATTGCCCTTACTCATCAAATGAAATGGGTCAGCAATGCGTTCAGACAGCCCTCGTCTATTGGCTCCGGTTCATCATAACAGCCGGTCCACTCCAAGCCACCGCACCAGCAATACCTACGCCATAAAATGATAATACCCTTTTTGATGAGTGCTAATTATACCCATCAGATGCCGGCGGGAATGTCCTTGTATCTTGTCTCAAGAGTTGCATGAGTGCTCCCCCTTTCCTCCTGGAAGTATCGCTACGTACCTGCGAGTATTCCCTGCCTGTCCCGCCATGTGTCTGTACAATCTGGTTCAAGCGGGATGTAAAGTGCGCAATTGCGTGGCACCAACCAATAGTAGCCTTCTGCCCGTCAGGGCAGAACTGGCTCCATGTGTCTACCGCACGGGGAAGAACAGGCGATGCATTTTGGGTCCCCCCAAGCATGCACACCTAAGGCAATAGGCCATACACACCGTCTTTTGCGCCCACCAACCCGCACGTTCGTTCACACACAGATTTGCCACGCCATTTTCCCGTCAATTCTCTGCTCGAGCCAAGGCCCACCGCAAATGCCTGGAATGGCTACCTTATTAATTAACCTACCTGGCCTTGACATGTGTGGGTGGGTAGAGGGGCATCGTCTAAAGCCGGTGTCCTGCTCTGGCACAAAATCCCGAGAATACGGCGGGCGCAATGGGTTCCTTCCTTTGCCGACAGCTTCTTTTTGAGACTATCTACGCCCAGCAGCACCTCCAATTAGGAGGTTGGCATAATAACAGTGCCTGCTTTGTCTCACTTGGGCTGCTCTTCGCAGCGAGCGGGGCATGATTAGAGCGATTGCCATGCTGGTCATAAAACTGCCTAATACGATCCTTCATACATAGCACACACCTCGTGATAATCCTAGATGTCGCCCACCTGGAACCCAATGTAGCGAGATAAATAGAGCCATGATGCCCGACCATATACCGCGACCAAGAAAAACAAACAGACCCGGTCGCGCCACGTAGGCTAATAAACATTCACGCACGCCGGGGAGCGGATCTTATTGGAGGTTGGACGGTGAGATGAGGTCTGGCTTGACAGGACCTGAACCCAACCCAGATCTGGTGGCCTCAGGGCCAGTCATTCATCGGGAGGCCCCAACCTTGAACAGTTTTTGAAACAGAACCAGTCGGGGAAGCCATAGCGTTGGATCGCAAACAGCAAGCACCTGCACAGGCGGGCAGCAAATTGTTTTCCCCCTTCTCATACGCCTATCGAATCGCACGAGGTTCGCTGATGATGGCTTCGCTCGCTCGCACGGCGGCAAAGAGGCAAGGGCTTATTGCTATCGTATTGGCCTTTTTTTGTGTTTGGGCTAGGCCTTGGCTTGGCTGACCTGACCTGAGATCCTGTTGCAGCGTCTGCGTCCCTCACACTCAATCGAGCCCAGCCAATCCCCACCTCCATCCGTTGGCGGACACGGCGGCCAGTTGATCCCTGTTATGAAGCAGACAAGGCAGGCGCCGTCTGCGAGGTGTGGCCAGGGGCTGCGATTCATTGGTGGATGGAGGCTTCTGATCGCCAGTTCACTGATACTGCTGGTCCTGTGCGAAAAAAACTGCGCGCGCGCACAGAGGGGCAAGACGTTCGCGCCGTCCAAACAGCGTTTACCGCCGATGCTATTTTGGCCGTTGCAAGCGGCTGCTGGGTTTGGCATTAGGTTTCCTCCCGGCGAACCGTCGCATTGGACGGCGCAAAACAGGCGGCGCAAACCCGGACCTGATTACGCCTGCCCTGTGCCTGATGCGATGCGATGCGATGCGATGCGCTGCCCTGCGCTGCGCTGCGCAAGATGGGCACAAGTACATACACACAGACATCCACTCTGCATGCCCAGCCAAGTGAAGTGCCTCTGAACTAACCTCCAGCTAACCATTACTATTGTGGATCCCGGGTTTGATGGTGTCAGGATGGTCCAGCAACGCAGCATCGGCTGCAGGTCGCGTGCCATTCATCTGTGGTTGTGCGCACCCTTGATGGCCCATACCACGTCGACTAGCGGAGCAGAATGCATGTCAGTTGTTGCGCCTCTTGGGTTGAGATCGCAGCTGGACAAAGACAAGAGTGTGGCGACGAGGGAGGGGTCGTATGGCCCATCACGCATGCCGGCCAATCTGAATTGTGCTAGTACCACCATATGCATAGATGCTCCTGTATGGTTTGGCTCCGTTTGGGTTCGTTTTGATTTGGCTTGGCCTGGAAGGGTTTCGAACCATTACACCAGTGCCTGGCTAATTGACAGCTTGCTCACCTCCCACTCGCCGCTTCGGCTGTCCCTCTCTGATAATGATCCCCCCCAGGGAACCTGGATGGCCAAGCCTCCGTACGTTTAGCTGGCGCCTGTCCACACGTCGGGCCTGCATAGGTGCTAAAGTATCGAAGCCCTGCCTGCAGTGTGTTGTGTTAGCGACAGCCCACTGGTCCCAGCCCGCCGTTTTTCTGGCTGGTTGTGGTACATTGAGTTTATTGGGGCAGCCGGATCAACGTCTCCATCTATGGCGGGGTCGAAGAGGAGGTTGCTGTCAATGAAGCATGTTACTATTGTCGCAGGCTTCTGAATTAGCACTGTAACTGCAAGTGACCTGACGAAAAATGATAACGGAATGAAGGGCCTCTAGGGCTGGGTGCCACTGGCTGACCGTAAGTCGGTCCATCCCATCCATTCAATCCATGTCACTTTCGTGAATACTCGGTGCGGACTTGCGCAGGCATTAATAAATAGGGCATTCGAGTACAAATCGGACCCTCGTTATACCGCTAGGGTAGCCAAAGCAGAATTGTTGCGCATTTGGGCCTGAGGCCAATCCAATGCGCTTGCATCGGAAAGGCGAGCTCGCTAGCAGCACTTTGATGGCTGTCAAGGCATTGTTCGACTAGTCTCAATCTAAAGAAACGGGCATGCGCACTCATGGTGCATCCATGGCATGATGCGAAGCAAGTCTTACTTCCCTCGATACTAGACAGGAAGTTCACCGTACAGTCAGTCGCCTAGGATCGACAGCCAGCGGCACTTGCGCCACCGGCCTACCTCCTACATGCCCAATTATCCAGTTGCATGGCATGCTGTCTTTTCTTGGATTAGCAACACCCATTGAGGTGCGACTTCACAACACTCTAGGCCACATGACGGCCAGCCGCCCGTAGGGGGGAAGGCTGTCCAAGTCAGTCCACTTTTCCCGTAGTTAAGCAGTGTAAAAGACTCAAGTGAGCAAGTGAATGGCTGGGCAAGCGATTGAATGAATGATTGCCCAGATGATTGACTGTTGGAAACACAGCTATCTCTGTTCCTCGTTTCCGTGACTTGGGTGGTAGGTATTGTGGGTTTGCGGTTTCGCACCAAATGTACCTGGCTCCCAACAAAGGTAGTGCAGTCTCCTCTGGGCTGTCCAAGCCCTCACCAAGCCAGCCTCAACGATGGCCCGTTGTTTCTCTGAGAGGGGGCGATTCCAAGCTGTTCTCCCTGGTGACATGACCTCCTCACAAGAGCAGTGAAGTAGTTTCAGCCATGAATATAATCATCCATTCCTTTCGTTAAGCGCGCGTAGTCGGGCGGGTAGGGAGGCAGATACCTAAATGGTAGGCAGGTGTGTGCTGTGCGAGCCTGCCCACACCCCCGAGGACACTGCCCGAGGGCGGCCTAGGCCTGGATTCCAGGGCGCTAGTGGACATTACAGGCGCTGCCAGCACCCAGTGTACACTACAGCACCGAGCCAGGCCTCTGCCAGCGGACGACAAAATCCCATCGACTCGCTTGGCTCCTCTTTTCCTCCTCCTGCACACACTCCGCCAGATTCACCGTCACCACCAGCTTCCCAGGTCGCTACAAGTCTATCTGGTAAGTCTCCTCTGCTCTATCGTCGTGCGCGATCACTCTGAACCCTCAATCAAATCATCCTGTTTCCCCGGAACACTTGCAATATTCTGGGTCGGCCGCCTCACTCTCAAGGCCGCCTGCCTACAGAGCGCCGACACATCCAAGGGACCGTTAGCCCTTGGATGGCCTCATCAATGCCTCATTCAACACTATCAAAGCCTGTTTGGACCAGCGATCGCTAATACTTTTCAAGGGAATCCATAAACTTCCGTCCCAACCGTCGTTTCCTCGTCGCCCACCGTCCTTGTCACTGCGCCGCCAGTCCTCACCCAAGTGGCGCTTACCGCCCGCAACCCAGGTGGTAATGCATCATTGAGCCTTCATCGACATTTACCATCATCGACGAGCCTGCGATTCTTATATAAATACAATACCATTCCTCAGGGGACCAATACTTCGGGTTTCTGAAGTCGACGTCGCTGTCCTAGGAGGCCTTGGTTACGTCTCCTAGCAGGGCACACAGCCTACCTCGTCAGACGTTAGCAAGCGTCTGCCAACCCTCCCTCCCCTTTCCCTCACCACTACAATACCCTCAAGGCCTTTGGCTATAAACACACACATCCCCCCATCACATCCACCATGACCTCAATGTCACCGACGAGTGGCCCTATCGGGTACCCCGATCACTCCCCAGGTGCCGAGAGCGTCTCCCCCGGCCAGCCGGTCGCTCCCAAGAATGTCGCATTTGAACTTCTCTTCTTCGATGCTCCTCAATACCGTGCGCGCTTGCCCATGCGAGTGCAAATTTACCCCCATGACACAACCGACTCGATTGTGACGACGGTAAAGAACTTTTATGGCCTCTACTCGGGTCCGACCGGATCGAAGGGGGTCAGCTTTGAGGACAAAGACGGCAATACTCTCATTGCGCGGTATGAAAACTTCCGCAACAACATGATTGTCTACGTCAGAGTCTTCGAGGAGTTCTCTACAGAGCCCGCTACATACAGTCATCACCCCTATCAGTCCAGCGCTGCGGGCAGCCAAATGTACTACTCTGGCAATGGCTATCCCAACCAGCGTTCGTCCCATGAGATCACCAGACCAAGCTCGAGAACTTCGCGACGACGAAGTCGATCTCCTAGTGGCTCTAGGGGAAGCAGGAGTAACTCGGCTAGCAACTCCAGCCAGAAGCGTCGCTCCCGGTCATCCAAGAACCGTACTGCACTCAGCCAAGCCGACTCGTATAGCGATCACCAAAATGGCTACAGCAGCGGCGAAGATGCCCCTAGCACCACTTCGGGCAGAGCCAAGGAGCTTCTTGGCACCACCGATATCAGCGTTGACAACATTGTCGAGGGTGGCCGACGGAAAAGAGCCAAGTTTGAGAGCTCGGTCGGTTCTCCTGCCATTTGGCCCTTCGCTTTGAAGAAAACTAACCGTTCTAATATAGGAGCTTCCTTTGTTTGCACCGCCCCAGATGCCTGCGGCTACATCCAACCCGTCCGTCTCGCCCGCCCGCCGAATTGAACAGCATCGACCATCGCTTTCTTTCACCCCGAACGGCCACAACCCGTTCACCAACCCTCGCCCCATGCATAGCGCACATGGTTATGCCAATAGCATGCAGTCGAATACATACACACCCAATGATCATGATGGTCGCCGAACCCGCGCCAATAGTAGTTTGAGTGGGACTGGTGCTATCCTTCCTACACCCGACCCAACTGTCGGAAGCTGTATGTCCGAGGAGGATAAGGATGTCGCTCTGCAATTAATGCGCCTTGGCGACATGTCCAATATCTCCCATGGTAGAACGTCGGCGTCGACACTTGACGATACCTTCAGTGGCAAGGCCGATGCTACCTCATCCACCGGCGCTACCAGCGACGGTGCCAGTGAGAGTGAGGATGAGCTCCCTGCTGCTCGTCGACAGAAGCTTGACATGTCGGGCGCATCGCGACTCATTTACCCTACCACAGAAATGCACCCTGTGCCCACTGCCAGCACAGAGGTTGACGAGGTTGAGTTCGAAGGAAACACTGAGGCAAAATCTATCAAGAACAAACCCGTCCCTAAGCTCAAGGCTTCTGCTATTCCCAAGCCTGTCAAGTCTATGAAAGTATCGACGGCAAAGGCGAAGAAGGCGCCTTCTGTTCCTGGCGTCCCCATCTCCCCTGCTTCGCAACCGCCATCTCGCAAGCAATCTGTCGTCTCAAGCACCACTCTAGGTGTGCAGGGTGAAGATGATCAGCCTGACCTGTCCACCAAGCCACGCTGCCAGCGGTGCAGGAAGAGCAAGAAGGGTTGCGATCGCCAGCGACCCTGCGGACGCTGCCGCGACGCTGGCCTCTCCGCTGATCAATGTATCAGTGAGGATGAGGGTAATGGCCGCAAGGGCCGTTATGGACGACATATGGGCGTACCCATCAAGAAGGATGAAGCCCTTGCCATTACTCAGCCTACACTTCTACCAGCTGCGCCCATTGCTCCTTCATCGGTAATGACCGCAGACAAGGCTAAGAAGCGGAAGAGATAGCCAAGATGCGCTCATGGGTGTATGGCGGAACACGTTGTATGTTGGCTGGACAAGCCATAACTTTACGCACTAGTGTTCCTCGGCTCAGCTACATATTGGCATGCGATAATCGCAACGATGAAAGAAACGCCAAAAAAAAGAAGTAAAAAAAAAACGACTGCACATCACTCACCTTTATATTGAGTGGCAATAATATGCTGAAGATCTATCAAATATGGAAGTTTTCGGTATGCACCCTTCCCTTCCGGATAACAAGGGGAACTGTGCAGAACAGCTGGGTTTATATGGTTTTCTCTCGAATCGTCTGGTGTTTAGACGATGGTTTTCTTTTTACTCTTTTGTGACGAGGATATAGGAGCTTGTAATTATGACGGTCTTTAACGGCCATTACACTCCTTGAATTGGCGTTTGAAGCTATGTGGGGGGATGTTACTCTTATTGCTTTGTTTTACCAGCACTGGTTGTGACTTCAATTTTTTTTTCTGTATCTTTTCCCTCGGAGATATCCAAGGACGAGCGACAGCATTCTGCATGCGCAGAGCGATGCGAAAGCTTACATTGGGGAGGCGGTGCGAAAGACGTCAGGGATTTGGAAATCTTTTACTGGGCAAAAGCTTGGAACAAGAACAAAAGGGGCAACCGAGGGATCCTCACACTCTAAATAGGGTGCGCGTTAAGGAGGGCAATGGTGATTAACGGGGATTGGTATCGCAATAGGGCTACAAAAATGGCGGCGGTGTGCGCGTGGTCTGGATGAGTAGAACTGTCCACCAGTCAAGGACAGGCTCGAAGGAGCATGCGACTTGTTTTTGTTTCCAATACTTTGATTTTCTGCATGTCTTATTCACTCAAAAATTTGTCATTTGAAATATCCTGTGCCATTTAACTCTACCAGCTATTCGGTGGTGTGCCCTTACTTGGAGATGAGATGCTCTAATGCGCGCGCATTGGAACACCTTTGCTTTCGCAATTCGATTATTTATGCACCCAGCGCATTATTTTTCCTGGGCATTGCGCCCCTTGTGCGCCAATACGTATAGAGCAATCGATAGTCAGGCGACGCCAATACTGGGTTGCCTGCACCGCTATTTGGGCAGATAAGATAAAAAACCACACAAAGCTATCACTCCATTTCTGATTTGCGACGGCAAAGTTGTGTACTGATCGGCGCTAAGACAGATCTTTTCGAGTGGCGGGTGGTGGTTCAACTTGACTGTTTAATCTAACTTTATTTGGACTAACGCACTCGGGTCGGTAAACCCCGGTTGCAGGGGCCCCATGCCAAAATAACACCCGATTGGTCCAAAACGCTGACATGGACAAATGCGGACATTGATTGGTTGCAGATACCGCGACAACTGCCAACGGCTCATTGGCTAGAGACGCTGACAAGCGAGCAGATCCACCCCACCTTTCCTATCCGGGCTATTTCTACGTCACCGCCTTGTTTACTTGCCCCGCGTTTCGGAGGGGTAATGTTTTGATCAAAACAAACAAAAAGCATAACAAATCGCATGCTTCAAGCTTTCCCTGTCAGCACGATGAAAAAAATTAGCATCTGGCGTCGAATGCAATTTTGAAGTAGGCGATAATTTTTTGGTAATTTTATCGGTCGGCAGACGGCGAGAAAATGGCGGCGACTAGAATCGCAGTGCGCCCACAAATGGCATCGGGCGGTGAGAGAGCGATTTCCTTTTTGGGCTCTTTGCACGGAAGACCATGTCCGACCCGGGACCCCGCTCCGGCCGGAGTTTTGTGGAGTCCAACAGTGGCGGCGTACCCTAAACCCCAGCTCGCCGGACCAGGGACCTGCGAAACTCTCGGGTGAGTACGTAGTAGGGTCAGAGGTCGCAAGGAATATGAAATTTTTTTCGCGATGCCATCTTGGGTGGATTCTTACCTCAGTTTGGTATTTTTTTCATGATGGTTTCGTTGTATTTGTAATCCTTATTTTTCTCGGTCGCGCCATTCGAATTGACATTGGCGCATTCTGTTTTCAGACCCCTTGAAACCTTTATTTTGGAAGTTAGTGGCCTTACCTGTTTAGATAATACAGCCTGCCGCAAACAGGTAGGTCACAACACGCTCAGCTTCACCTCCCGTCGTCAACGAAAGGGCGCGGCGCATTCGCGGGCTGCCATCGGCTTCTGGCTTGACTTGCCAACCTTGATGTGCGATACACTCCACACATCTGGGTATTTGAACCAACTGGGAATCTGCCCTTGACCTTGTGAGCCCCACCTCGGGGGATTCTGCGATGGATATAGATTACAGTGGAGAAGGTCGCTGGAGGACGGTCTTTGTGGCCGACTTTTGGAGAGATAGGGCGCGAAGCTGGTAAAGATTTTGCTTGTTAATCCCGGTTTAGTATAGAAGGAAAGCGACACCGGAGAGGACCAATGCATATGTATTCTCCCCTCATTACGACCGTGACTAAACTTGTGATGATCTGTAATCATTGTTCTGCTCGTCCAAACATCTGTGAAAAACTATCCGATGATCCAGATATTCGTAGGTTGTCGCCTTATCCCGAGGACGATTCCAGGCATAGGTTACTGTCACAGACACCCCCACCAATAAGTCCAACATGGCGGAAGATGAGGAGAAGAATGTGCGGTCTGCCCCCGTCGAGCGAACAATCTCCAACACGGACGCGCCTGTCCCCTACCACGATGCGGATGGGAACTTTAACCCGCCTGACCGGGGCCTTCTCGCCTGGTCCCAAGTCCTCGCCACCCTGTTCATCAATGCCATGTGCTGGGGGTATCTCGTTGCCTTCGGCGTATACCAGCTGTACTATGTCGAGACGCTCAACCTGCCCTCGTCCCAGGTATCCTGGATCGGCTCCATACAGATCTTCCTGACCTTTGGAATATGCACCGTCTCGGGTCGCCTATCCGATGCCGGCTACACGAGGCACTGCGTCGTCGGCGGCTGTGGCCTGGCCGTGCTGGGCACCTTCATGGTCAGCCTCGCCACCAAGTACTGGCAGATCTTCCTCGCGCAAGGGGTCTGCACGGGGCTGGGGCTGGGGATCGCCTTCATGCCGGCCATCACGACCCTCAGCTCTTACTTCAAGAGGAACCGGGCTTTTGCGCTCGCCATCGCCGCGACGGGCACGTCGGTCGGGAGTATCATCTTCCCTTCCATCGTCCAGTACCTGATCCCCAAGGTCGGCTTCCCCTGGGCCGTGCGGTGCGCCGCGTTTGTCGCCCTGTTCATCGTGGGGGTTGCCAACCTCCTCCTGAAGCCGTATCTGCCCCCGCGGAAGGCTGGCCCCCTCGTGGAGTGGGGTGCTTTCAAGGAGCGCACGTACGCCCTCTTCACTCTCGGGGCGTTTTGTAACTTTTATACCCTGTATTTTGGTTTCTTCTATGTAAGCCGGTTGACGTCCATGTCCACCTGTGGTGTGAATTTCGGCCAACTGGTACTAATACCGTGATAGATTAACAGTTATGCTCGGACCGTAATTGGGTTCTCGTCGCAAGAGGCCGTGAGCATGATTCTCATCGCCAACGCCCTCGGCATCCCGGCTCGCATCGTTGTGGGGTACCTGGCAGACAACCTCCTGGGCCCGATCAACATGTACCTGATTTCGCTGTGCTACCTGGGGACCATCACGTACGTGTGGATGACGATACAGACCCGGGCGGCCATGTACATCTTCAGCGTCTTCTACGGGCTGGCGGTGGGCGCCACCCAGGGCGTCTACGTGGGCGCGCTGGCGAGCCTGACCAGCGACCCGCAGAAGATGGGGACGAGGTTCGGCATGGTGTCGACCCTGTCAGGCTTCGCGACCCTGGCAGGGCCTCCCACGGTGGGAGCCATCATCGACCAGTCGGGAGGCGACTATAAATGGGCGCAGGTGTGGGGTGGAACGCTTGCCTTTGGGGCGGCACTGGCCGTGTTCGCTTCTCGCACGGCTGCGGTCGGCTTGAAGTTCAAGGCTAGGCTGTGAGTGGTTCTAGACATGCAGATTGGAAAGCGGAAGAAATGGATATGTGGTTTCTGTGAAACCAAGCTAATATGTATGGTTCATTATAATGAGGAGGAGGATGGGTTTACAGCCGGAAACATGCTTGATATTGGATAATATTTAATCTGGATATGTTTCTTCTCGGTACTTTGATTTTAGTCTATAATTCCGTATCACCTGCCTTTATGGAGATTTCTCCAAATGTTCCAGAGCCATTCTGATGAGGCGACATACCTGTGAACCCTCCTGCCATACATGGTCGTGCTCCCCAGCAAGGTCTTTCAGAGTCAAGAGATTGGCATCGTTAGCCTTCAACTTCGCGACCATTTCATCAATTTCAGGCTCATCTACAAGTGTGTCTTGGGGTGACCAGGCCAAAATATTGTGGGAAGGCAGATGGCGCCCACTGATGTGGCCATCTGGGCAGCAGGCAGGCGAGGCGATCCCCCATCTGGACCTGTCACTGCTAAAGGCAGATGTGATGAACCCAGCATAGTTCCCGCCATGACGCTGGTCAATGCCGTCGAGATCGTAAATGCCAGAAATGCCGACGATGGTCGTCGGCAGTGGCACCGAGGGTGGTGGTTCCTGACCATCTAGAACGTAGCTACCCATGCAGAGCTGGTACGCGAGGGTAGCACCGGCGGAGTGGCCGACGAGGATGTACTTGCCGCTGGCGAGGTCGTACTCCTGCACGAGGAACTGGAGCGCGGACCAAACGTCGTTGATGTGGTCGGGGTGTTTGGCGGCACGCAGCTCCGACGCGGGGGTTTCAGGGCCCTGGGGGTGTTTGGGGTGTGGCGAGAGCCTGTAGTCGATGCTTGCGAAGCCGCGTATGGGAGCGTGGGCTAGGCTGCCGTATGAGGCGAGCACATGCTTGATGGAGGGGATGAAGTCCTCCTCGGTGTTTCTGGGGTCACCCCATGCGCCCCCGTGGATGAAGCTGGCCAGGACGGCGGGTTGGTCAACTCAGAGCTCTCTCACTCATTCGGTCTGGGTTGCTTACATGACCCAGGCGCCACCTGACTCTGGTTTGATGTCTGATGATGGTTCCCACACACTTATCCGCTGGCGGACATTGTCGCCGTAGGAGTGGCGCGTGTGCCTGAGATGATCCATTGTTGGCTGTGATGCGACTGGGCTGCTTGTGTTTGGGCGGCACGTGAAAATGAGATGCAAGCTCAATGGGTGTGTACACGAAGCGGGGTTCTGGATGGATCGGCCTTTGGCTTTGTAGCACCTTAGTCCCAGGTACAACAGTTAGGATTCGGATCGTTCTGTTGCGTTATATATCGTGGATGGTTCTACAGCCGCTCCCGTGGTATCCGCCGTCGCATTGGATCCATGCTGTGGATGGGGGATGCGGATAGGTTGGTGACCACTAACCAGTGCAATAGCCGCTAGAATTAGGTGATTATCCGTCCCATCATACGCCGTCGCATCACTGTAATGTTCCATGTCATGTTAGGTTGTTGGCAGTAACTCGCTGCAACAGCCTTGTCTCCAGCGGGCTTCATCGGTCCCGCAAACACATCGTCAAACAGCAGGTGGTCTGTACCTCAACCTGTCGCAGTTACACCCGAGTGTCCGGGGGGTTTCTTTTTCCCTTGCCTGTGCTTCTGGTTGATTTAGGTTTAGGTACAAATAATGTATGCGCCTCCTTTCCCCTTTGGAACCCGCCTTTATGCGACTTCGCTTCTGATCTGCAAATGCTGTGCGACTATTCATGCGTCAGAAGCGCTTTGGACTCGGTGCAGGTGGCACATTGCGGCCTTTTTCTGGTCTGTGAGATGCATCATTTTGATCAATCACTCAGCTGAAAACCGGGCTTGTTGGCGACGAATAAGCAGTGCCTGTCATACTTGTCTTTGACACACGTGAAACAAATCCCTATACCTGGATCATTAACGATTTCGTTGTTGTGTTCAATGGCACCAAACACAAAAACATGCAGTAGGGTTAACTAAGACCTAGAAGCCTTCAGAAAATAACATGCTAAGCTTAGGGCTTCCTAGGATAAATACAAGCGATCACAAGCTTATAGGTGCTGCGAAGGCGGTTGGATCAACGGAGACCTAGAAGCCTTCAGAACTTAGTCTAAAACAGCAAGCTATGTAGGTAGTCCGCTCAACTTTAGCAGTCAGGGTTTTAGTTGATCCGACTGACTTGGCAGCACCTATAAGCTTGTGATTGCTTGTATTTAGGTATCTTAGGGAGCCCTAAGATTAGCAAGTTATCCAGGCACTGCCACCTGCGGTTTGCTCTTTGGCATCTTTGTATTTGGGGTTGGTCAATCTCAGAGCAGATAGGGCGAGATTCGATGGCAAGCGCAGGCTCGGTGGAATGTTTGAGACTTGAGTTGGAGCGATGAGGGCGGCGATGTGCGAGACTCGACTGACTTGACTGAGTAGCGATGTAATAGACGGATTGTCGATGTGGACTTGAGCTGTGCGGTTCTGTCAGGCCGGGGATGGCGACCTTTAAATATATAGAAAGCAGCATTTTAAGGTTCATGAAAGGAGTCATGCCGACGAAAGAGTCATTATACCGGGCACAAGCTATTATTGGTGTTGAACCTTATATACGGTCGGGCGTAAGCCTCGTGTCCGGACAAGGCTGAAGTTTAATGTGCTGTGATGCTGGGTATAGTAACAAGTTATTGAATTCTTGGTGTTTGGGAACTTCCTTTTTTCTTCTTCAGCAGCTTCCATATAAACACACAGCTCTCTCACTTACTACTTACTCAATAAAAACATGCTCTCTTCTGTGAAGAGTTTCACTGGTCTGTCACCCGTTTTGATTGGACTCCAATCGGATAAGAAGGGTGTGATGCTCCGGACTCTGTGCTACGGCTACACAAAGGAAAGGCGAGCCTGGCGCATAGCTAGTTCCGGGAAGGTGTGAGATCCTGCTAACTTTTTGCTCCTCTAGCCCTCCCGCAATTGGCGGCTAGAGACAACCTGATGTATTGTCATACAATGTCGGGGGGTTGTCTGTTTCATGATCCCTAGCTTGAAGCTACATGGCGTACAATTTATTCGTGCTTCCATAGCTGCTTGTTGCTCTCTCTCTTCCCTGTGACACGATGCAAGGGAAAATTTGTGCGCTCACGATCTGCCGGGTTACGCTGGCGTGAAATTGGTACTGGCTCGATACTACAGACGCCTTTTGTAGACCAGTTTGGCCAGAGCAAACGGAGTTTGCGTGGTTGATATGGGTCCTTGGCGAGGCCAAGATCCGAGTTCAATGTTGATAGCTCCGTTCATTCGCTTGCAGATGTGGTGGACCTGTGTTTATCTCGTTGCTTGCTCCGTTCCTTATGGCTACGACAGAGCGGTTTATATCGCTCGCTCGTGGCCGGTCGACATCCAAAGACTTTCTCTCCTCTCCTCTCCTAACCGATCCGAAGGAAAAAGTCTTGACATTTTTTATCAGGATCAGTGATGGAGAATCCCGGCGTTAATCTCTCCGAGACGAACGGCACACGCCTGCTGATAACGATTTCCATCTTCTTGGCTTTGTCATGGGTTGCTGTCACTCTCCGAACTTATACCAGGGCGTATCTGATTCGTTCCTTTCGTACCGATGATTGGATCATGCTTATAGCACAAGTGAGTGCTAGAAATATTTCATGTGACTTGGTGATGAAGATTCTTTCTAAACTGACTGTCTGTAAGGTGACTTTCACAATTTACTCAGGCTTTCTCTATGCTGGGCTTGAGGCGGGCATAGGCCGTCATAATGCCGCTATAGAGGATGCCGATCGTGAAGTCGCCGCACTCAAGGTGAGAATTGGATGCACGAACTTCCAAACTTCTTCGATTATGTTGACTTGGCCAAGTGGCAAGCTCTGGCAATCAGCATGTATATCGTGCTGATGCTGTTGATCAAACTGAGTATTGGATTCTTCCTGTTGCGCATCACCATTCATATGACAGCGTACGTGCGGATAATCAGGGCGAGTTTGGCACTTATATTAATCTCCAGTGCCGTTGTTTTCTTCTGGAATATCTTCCAGTGTATCCCAGTCGAGAAGCAGTGGGATTATCGTATTACGTATGGACAGTGTGTTCAGCCGAATGAAATTGTTGTTGTGGCGTACGTCATGAGTGCTATCACGATAGTGACGGACTTCTTCTATGTGAGCAGATCTTCTATACCGGTTGCCGTTCTCTCTGAAGGCGGTATCAAAACGAAAGAAGACTATCAGGAGAGCCGCTCACACGTCGCTAGGCCCTGATCCCTATTCCAATGATGTGGAAGGTCAAGATGACTATACAGGCGAAGGTGACTGTGGTTCTAATTCTTGGAATGGGAATCTTGTTCGTCCTATCTGGCAAAATATATATTAATTGCCTTACTGATTCGTGAGCAGCGCAAGTGTGGCAACCATTCTTCGGATCCGATTGCTCCCAACCATGGCCAACCTCGACGATGTGCTCTGTATGTACCCAGAACTATTCTCACAACCAACTGGCCCACTACCAATAATGAATATTTTTTTGACTTTGACGAAGATGCTGGCACAGATGCAATGATATGGACCATCATCGAGGCTGCCCTTGCCATCATAGCCGCGAGCCTGGCCACTATCCGCCCCCTTCTCCGTGTCTTGCGTGTCCGAGGTTTCGAATCTTCAGACAGCTGCGAGAACATTGAAGGTTTGGACCTGCAAGCGTTGGAGCCTCGGCCAGACCGACAGAGGCGATTTCTCCAGTTCTATGGCATCAATGACATGCCGCTCACACACGACACTCGCCCGGCTACCATCTTTTGTTTCCATCACGACGACACCAAGTCGCAACATGTGCAACTGGATGATACTGGAAGAGAGCCTTGAAATCGGCAGAGAACATGCTTGCAGTATTGGGAGGATACAGAAGGCAGACTAACTCTGGAATGGAACCTCTGGTGGGCTGGCGAGGTCGGTATATGTAGTCTTGAATGGTCTGGATACGGACTATCGGCGAACTATGGAGATAGATTTGGTGAATAGGATGTGAGAGTCTTGCATTCTCTTTTTGCTCAACGTTGTTCAGTGATTCGATGTGGCGGTTCTTTTTCCTGTTGGTTGACAAGGTCTTGGACTTGAGAAAGGAGAGCCTTATGCTGGATATTCAAATATGTGAAGATAGTTGCTCAAAGAGTATTTACTCCGGGTTGAAGGAGTCTTCTTAGCGTCACAAAGTCACCAAGGGAGGGTAATTTGTCTTTTATTTCCTCTATTAATCCCATTTTCGACCATTGATACCCTTGCAGTTGCACAGAGAAAAAGTTATACATGATCCGAACTCCTGTTTATCACACTTTTCACTCATTAATTTGCCGTGCCTTCATCTACTACCAGTTCCTCTGGCGCGACCTCCCAGTCATCTTCTTCACCCCAAACAGGCGCAAGAACGAACCGGCCCATGATCTTTCCCATTCCCACACTCTCGCCCCCGATGGCGTTGGGATCGGCCTTGGAGTCATTTTCTTCTACTATTACCGCAGTCGTTAAGAAGTTCATTGCCGTAGCTGGGCTCACTTCTAGAATCTGACCACCCCAGTCCAGCTCAACCTTGCCAGACTTTCGTACCTTGAGCTCACCAATCATTCCACCCTCCGAAAGCATGGATGACAGGAATCCCTTGCCATCATCCACCTCGTCATCGTCCGCCTCAGGTTCGGGTTCGCCGGCCTGTTCTGCAGTGAGATCAATCGGCGCGGTGGGTGCAGAGTTTAGCATATCTAAGTCTTGAGGCTCGTCCTTAACTCTGGGCTTGGGCTTCGCTTCTGCGCTTTTCTTCAGTGGCGGGAGGAGTGGCGGGAATTGCCAAAGGTACAGGCGTCCGTCCTTATCCATAGGGGCTTCCTCTGGCTTTTCCTCTCCTCCCTCTTTCGGAGCAATGGCGATGGTGCCGAGCTCACTTGCTAGTAGATTTAAATCCGACTGAATTATAGCTTCCTCGGGGTCCTGGGGCGCTGTCTTTTTGACTTTGATCTCGACTAGAGGTTTCTTCGCATCCTCAGGCGAAGCGAGGCTGGGATCGATATCCATCGAGCCGTCAACATCCTCCTTCTTAATGACAGTAGGGCCGTTGTCTCCTGTGTCCCAGATGCCCTCTTCCTTGGCTTGCTCAGGGATGGGCCGTGCTGGGCTATCCTCATCAACCCACAAGCTTTCCTCTTCTTCGGCGGCGTTCTCTGCGGCTTCCAACTCTTTCGTTGTGGCAACCACGACTCCGACCTCCTTATGTTCGGTTCGGTAGATACCCATTGGCATAACGTCCGCGGGACGCGACGTGAGGGCGGCCATGGTAGCTTCATCCTCGCTTCCTAGCTCCTCCTCTGCCGCCATGGTGTGTAGTTTGTCGGCATTGATTCTTGCTTCACGATATCGGTTGGCTTCCCTGAAGCCCTCGCCCTCAGATTTGGCGCCTCGATATGACCCGCCGCCACCCATTCTGAAACCACCACCACCACCACCACCGCCGCCGCCGCCGCCGCCACCTCCAAACCAACCACCTGCGCTACCTATGAGCCTGTAAGCCTACTATTCACCGAGATGTGGGACCGTGAAGAAACATAAGGACGGGGAAACATACCGGATATTCCACCTGAGAAAGGCCCGGTGGCAGCACCTACTATTCCTCCGCGACCCCCCCGAGCGCCCATCGCATTTCCACGGCTGCGCTTGCTACGGAACCGCGAACGGCCCCGGGCGCGGCGCTCCTCGGCATCTCTCTCTTGGGCCTTCTTCTCCTCTTGCCTCGCAAGATCTAATCGTTCGGCCTCATCTCTGCGGATGTTCTTGGGACGGAACCGGCCGACGGTGGGTGCCCGCGTGGCTCGTGAGGCGGCCGTAGAGGCTCCTCTGGTGGTGGTAGATGCGGCGGGTGCTGCTGCCGGTCTGGAGCTGGCTGAAGTAGCAGAACTGGCGGCCCCGCGGGCTCCTCTGCCCGACCCTCGACCGCGGTTCATTATGGTGAGGGTTCTGGGGAGCAATTGTTGGAGAGATGGAGATGACTGCAATCGATTGCTCAAGAGCTTGTGTGACTCCGACGCTGTAAATTTTGGCGGGCTGAACTACACTTTTTGGTGGGGTCAGTGACGCATCCCTGTACGTGCCCCGCCGATTAGCTGATAGCGAGCTAAGCCCACTAAGACTTGCGCCAGGCGCTGTATGTACCTATTTCGATCATTTAGTATCTGCACAGGGAGAGAGAGAGAGTTGGTATAGTAAGTAAGTGAGAGAGCTATGCAGTTATGAGGCAGCTGCTGAAAAAAAAAAAAGGGCGATATTCCCAAACACCAAGAATTAACAACTTGATACCATACCCAGTATCACAACACATTAGAGAGAGTTGGTATAAGAAGCACCTGCTTTTACACATACTTGTATAGGATTTCATTAAGGCTTGGTCGCTGTATTGTGCGTATGTAGAAATAAATATTCCATTACACATTGGTACATCTATAAAATATCATTTCTACTTTTGGTTTGCAATTATTGTACACACATCAAGGCCTCACTGCCGAAATGATGTGCAATGGTGCCTTCTCTTATAAGCATGCTGCCAATCCAATTCCTCCCAGCTTCGACAGTCTTTGCGCCAAACTTGACGATGACACAACTTCGGACGTTAGCTGCAGACCATAAAACGCCTTCCTCCTTCTCCTTCTGTATCCTGTTCGAGCTCCAGCGTTCTGACTCGGACTGAGCTGCCTCTTCTTGAGCTTTGTCTTCGGCGGACCGAAAGTCTCGAGCTCCAATGCGAGGAAGGGCTGCGAATTCGCTTAGGAAGAAATCGCCAACCGGTTTCATCAAATGGCCCCTGAGAAGAAGGGTGCCGAAAACACCCGTCTTATGCATTGTTTCTTTCAAAGGACGTCCTAGGAGAAGGCTATCGGGGCCAGAGAGGACCACAGTGTCCCTGACCAGGAGTCTATCCTTGCCGGCTGCCTCATCTCCTCTTTGCCATATCTCGTTGCGGCCGGTCCATCGGATGAAGCTCCAGTCTTCCCCTCGAGCACTCCGGCCTTGGGTCACCCAGTCTAGGAAACATATCGACGCCCGTGGCGCAAGTTTGAAAATTTGCGTTTGGACGTACACACTGCTTTCAAATGGCTGGACTGGGTCTGGCAGGAGGCAAAGAGAAGCATCATCATCTACTCGCACTTGCAGGGTTTGACTCGTTACGACGTCAGGTGACGGCGACTTGAACACCTTGGTATGGCCCTGCGTAACGAGGCTAAGCTTAGATTTCTCGTGGACATGAATTGAGAGGTTGACGCTATCGCCTCCCACCAAACCACCGCCATACGATAGGATAAAGACCAAGACGCTCTTCTGATCCGCAGAGGGAGAGGGGGATATCAGTTTCAGAGGATACTGGTATGTCATTGCCTCGAGACTGCTAGTCCCAGCTGGGGACAGTTTGACCACGAGACGGCCATCGCCAGCGCGAGATGAGGAGGCTGGGAAAGGAGAACCCATGCTTGTTATTGCGCCGGACCGTCTCTCTGCTGTGAGCTGCGAAGAATTCTTGGATGCTGAAATCAGGACATCATCTATTCACCAGTCTACAACGGGAGCGACATTACAGCCTCCAATCGAGAGCGGATCATAGCCAAGTTATGCAATTCGGCGAAGAAGGAGATCCATCATGTTGATGGACGTGAGGGATGAATTGGGCTACGATGAAGATAGGCAGCTCTGATAAGAACACATCCGTACGCATCTGAGTACATTACGTAAGTAGCCAGTTACCACTATGGTTGTCGAAACTCTGGACTATTATTTATGACATGTATCAATGGCTCTTCGCGCTGGTCAAAAATAAGAAACGCGGGGAAGAGAGTCCAATTACATGTAGGTAAGCACAGGTAGGTGCATGGCACAAATCATTGAATATTTCATTACTCGGACGCGCCACCTGGTCCGACACTTAGATGGCGTGTAGCTGCCAATGCACTGGAAGGTAAGGTAGAGATAGTGCGTAGAAGAAACAGGGGAATGACGATACCAAGAGCGCATTGGAAAATTGAGTCAATTACGATTTGAGCGCGACTGCCCAATTCTTTGCAGTGCGTGTGATTGCTTACTCGTACCTGCCTCTGCATTATTTCTCGAACGTTGATTTGGGCACACAGGGTGAGCAGTTTATCCGGCAATCTGCCGGGCGGCACATCAGCTCCAGTGCTCCTGCCCAAATAAACCCTTTTGCGGCGGTGCAACTCTCAACGCGCCCAGCGGGTCGCCAATTCCACTTTCAATCGCTTCCACCGGCCGTGGAAAACATCCCCATAACGCGAGGCGACCACACCACCACCGGATCAGGACTATTACGCCTGGTTTTGGCTCCTGCAGATGCAGACTGCTCGTTTACCTCTGCGACAAATTATGGACAGCAACGGCAATCCGAGTCCAGACCCCGACACAGCGGCGCGTCGCCGTTCGGGACGCGTCGTGAGAGCCCCCGACAAGTTCTCACCTGAAGCCGCGGGGCCCTCATCGGTCGCGAAACGCAAGCGCGACGCCGGTGAGGAAGGGGAGGACGACGAGAACGATGACCCAGAGGTCGACGACGAAAGCGACGAGGCTGATCAGCTTTCCGACGACGAGCCTGCCCCCTCCAGGAGGGCGAGGAAATCGTCGCAAACCAAGCGCGCAAAGAAACCTTCAGCCAAGAAGCCCAAGATCAATGGCACGCAACACGCCACGGCAAACAACACCGTTACGCTTCCTCGAATGCCCAAGAAGGTCGTCAGACTTGACACCGGCGACAAGGGAACCGGCCTCTATGGTACCATGCCAGCCCTTCTCACCCCCTCGTGAAACCTAAGAATTGCATGGCTAACTTATCTCTCAAGCTGAAATCTTCTCGCAGGGCAACTCTTCTGATACTGTTGCTCAGCAGTGGCTAGAGAGCTACAGAAAAGACACGACGGTTGCCCTCCTCGATCTCATCAATTGCGTTCTGCAGTGCATCGGGTGTGAGCAGGAAGTCACAATTGATGATATCCGCGATCCGGACAACATTCCAAACAGACTTCGTGATCTTGAAAATTCTTATTTAGAGGTACGTGTTATCCCTGCATTGTTGAAGTCTCCCCTCCCAAGGCTAACCTGGCTCTCATCAATAGCAACAAGAAACAGAATATCCCCTGATATCCAGGTCAAAGTCAGCGAAGTCATTTCGCGATTTGCTTCTGGGATTTTTTGCATCATGGGTCGAGCTTTTGCATGAATCTGAACTTTTGTATAAAGATGAGGAGGTGATGGAGAACGTGCAGAGTTGGTTAGGCAGCATGTCCTCTTCCCGCGTCCGGTCGTTTCGCCACACAGCGACAACCATATCTCTTTCTGTGACCTCGGGCCTTGTCGAGGTTGCTAGTACTCTGGACCATCGAATCACGAATATTGAGCAACAACTACAAGCTTCAAAACGTGGTAAGAACAAGCCGAGAACTGCCGAGTTTCAGCAAAATCTTGATGAGGCCAATGAGTATCGTGACAAATGCACAAATATCCTTCAGCTTTATTTCGACGTGGTTTTTGTACACAGATACAGGGACTCGGACCCCAAGATCCGCACTGAGTGTGTCGAGGCGCTGGGGCACTGGATATGGGAGCTTCCAACAGTCTTCATGGAACCGAGCTACCTGCGATACCTTGGTTGGATGCTCTCTGACACCTATGGACCAACACGCCAGGAGGTCCTCAAGCAACTAGCCAGAATTTTCAAGCGTGATTCCGAGCAACTCGGTCACTTCATTGATCGATTCCGACCCAGGCTGGTGGAAATAGCTACTCGCGATGCCGAAGTGGCTGTTCGCGTAGCCGCAATTGCTGCTATTGACACGCTACGTGAAGCAGCTTTACTTAATCCGGAGGAGCTTGACGTGATTGGCCAGCTCATTTACGACAATGAGATTCGAATCCGCAAGGCCGTCGTAGGCTTTTTTGTCGCCTGCGTTGACGAAGTTTTTGCAAGCACGGTCCAAGCGCTAGGTGGTACAGATGCTTTGGATGAATTTGACAGCACTGATGACGATGACTATAACACTCCGCGACGGGAATGGGTTAATATCAAATGCCTTGCCGAGACACTGTCAGGCTACGATTCCCAGATTGAAGAGCGCCAACAAACCGGTGGCATTGCTGGTTTGGATGTCGCGGTCGATCTACTCGCTACTCATGCTCCGGAAACCAGAATTTCTCTTGCGTCACAGGTGCTCTATGAGAGAGTCCCAGAGATCAAACGCTGGCAGTTGCTGGCTGGTTACCTTCTCTTCGACCACACTACAAGTACCAAGGCCAAGTCAAGATCCCGAAAAGCAGATTCACCTGAAGCAGCGTTTAAGAAGGCTGTAACACCTTCACCGGCTGAAGAATTGATTCTTTTGCAGGTTCTGGTATCTGGTGTTAAGTTAAATCTCACTCACGTCGTTGAACCCGACAAGGGAAGGCGAAGAGTTCCGCGCCACGACATCGAGGCGGCACAAGAAGAGATTGCAATTGAGCTATCTGACATTATTCCACAACTTCTAAGTAAATTTGGAGCTGAGCCCGAAACGGCAACTACCGTTTTACAGCTGGAACACTTCGTCGCCTTGGAATCTTTCCAGCAGTTACGGCAAGATACAAGCAAATATGATGCTCTCCTTGATGAGGTATGCACGCAGTTCAACAGGCATGACGATATCCGTGTCATCTCCGAGGCCACAGCTGCCCTTCTGCACGCCCGCCGACAGGAGGAATTGGAAGAACTCACAGACGCCAAATTAGCCACATTGTGGGAAAGCAATATCAACGCATTGCGCAACATTGACAAGACTTGCGAGCTTTCAGTGCGCGGTAATCTGGCTGCTGGCTCATTGAAGAGCCTTTCGATTGTTCTCATGAAGATCAGCAAGCTGTCAGGAATCTCTGATTGCATCGAGTTGCTCGAAGCCGAGGGCTCGTCGGACGACTCGAGCTCGCCTGTAGTTGGTATTCTTAGCAATATCGTTCATCGTGGAAAATTTGAGCCTCAGGAGGATGAGATTGACGATCTTGAGGATGAAGTTGTGTCATACGCCATCAAAGCCTGCCAGTTCTACTTCATGTGGAAGGTCCGCAGTCTATCGAAACTGATTTCCGATGGTGCTGGTGTCTTGGGCGAGGATCTTGACCGCCTATTCGTCTTGCGATCAACGTACCGCCGATACCTGATTGAAACCTTCTCATCCCGCGCAGCGATTGACGAGCTTCGTCTATTTGCTACCGGCTGCCTCTGCGACCTTCACCTCACCTTTGCTACTCTCCGCACCCCTATCGAAAACTACCGCCCTTCATCCAGCTCTGCATCTCACTCCTCAGCAGACAATCTTCAAAAACTGGTCCAGGATATTGAGTCTGGCCTTGTCCCCGAGTTGCTCCAAATCTTTGATGGAGCAGAGAAGCAATATGCCAAACGTAGCAAGAGAGAAAAGACCTTGAACACGCCTGCAGACGACGACGAGCCGATTGACGATGATCCCATGGATGATGAGGGTGAGAATGACGAAGATGAAAACTTGACCCCAGAAGAGCGCTTCGCAGCGGAGCTCAAATCCGAAAAGGCGCTTTGCGAGTTGGCTGCCAAGTTGGTTCTTGCCATCAGAGCCAAGATCATTGACAGACGTGGCTCTGAAGCCGGCAAGCTTCGACGCAGACTCCAACGCAACTCTACGAAACTGGGGAATAATTTCAGGGAGGTCGTCAGCTATCTGGATGAGTCGAAGCGTGTCAAACAAGACAAGAAGAAGGGCGGTGCCAAGACAGACAAGCAGACTCTAAGCAAAGAGAGGATCGAGGTCGATGATGAAGATGAGGATGATCTAGAGGTAGAAGAAATTGAGGACGTCGAAGATGTGGCTGACAACGAAAAAGAGGATCTGGAGGGCGAGCTGGAAGACGATCCTATTGAGGATGTCGACGATGAGCCGGAGGAGCGGCAGAATAATGACCGGGATGACAGTATTCTTGGGGATTAATTATAGCCCAAACTAAGTTTCCTTTGCGTTATTCTTCATGTTTGTCTTTTATTAGGTTTATGAAGTATGGCAGAAGGTGCCAACGACTTTGTTGATGAAAAGGGAATTGGCATGTTCTGTAGTGAATGATCACATATTTATTCAGAGTTCAAATTTCGTTACTTGTCTATATTCCGGCCTGGTTCATGGTAGTGTATATAGTGCAACAAACACCACTTCATGAAATGACCGGTTTTCTCAGTCGAGCCATTTAGTCAGGGAAAGGAGCACAATTGTAGCAAGATGGATGCGGTATATGGTTGTGTGGCCCTGATGTGTTTCTTCACAACAGTTTTGGTTAACCCGGATCTTGTTCCTTCTTTACTCCCACAAATGGCCTTAATCCTCTATAATTTTAGTCCCGAAAAGCCCGTATACCCTCTCCCAGCGTTTGTTATTCCCCGCATCTGCTTTGGTCGGATCTGACTCACGAACCTTTATGCCATACTGGCGAATGCAACAGTTGAAGGGCAGGTTGGACACTTTGCTGTCAAAGTCAGCATTTTCCTTGTTGCTCCCATCGCCCTCGTTGTCCGAGCTGTCTGGTGGGGGGGGGTCTCCTGTGCGAAATTGATTCGCCTTCTTGGCCGCTTGACGCTGCTCGTGCTTATTCTCCTCCAGGTTTCCCCAGAGGAGAAACATGCGCTGGCGCAGCAGATCTAGAGTCTCGACATCGCGCTTTAGGTCGGTGGCGTCGAGATTGACAAGACACTGCGCTGATTGGTTGTCTACAACGACCCAGATCCGTTCTCTCTGTTTGATATCGGGTGTGGAATCTTCTAGTTCAAGCGCGAATCGCCATTCCCAGCTCATCGAGTCGCTTCCCATGTCTTCGTCATCCATGCCTGAACTAGAGTCTGAGTCCCCATCGTCTTCCAAGACGTCATATTCAGAAGTCTTCTTGGGGACGGCGAATTGTAGTATGTCGGGGGGAGAGAAGTTGGTGACGCGAACGTTGACGCGATAGTTCATGTTTGTGAATGGCATTGGCACCTTCACTTCCTCGCCATCAATATCCAGATCAGCAGACGCCTTGGTGAGAATATCTGATAGGGAACTAGTAGGTTTGGTGTGATTTTCGCATTTGACTATGGTAAATGTTAGAGACATGTATTGTTAGGAGCGCGATATTGAAGGAAATTTAACACACCCTGTAAATTCATCTTTTGTGTAGAAACGGGCGTGTCTGATTGTTGAATATTCTGGGGATTCTGAGCATTCTGGGCGTTTTGGGCATTTTGGGCGTTATGGGCGCTCTTTTGCCTGGCTCTCTTCTCCCTTCGTGAGAGTTTAGAATTTGCTACAGGCTTTTCTCCTGCGAGAGCATCTGACTTCCGCTTCTGGCCAGCAGCGGCAGCGTCGTCAATTTGCTTCTTCTGGGCCTTTAGACTTCGCTCGTACGCGCGTTTTCGCTCAAGAGCTCGATAAAGTCGAGGATCCATGGTCTCGGGGTCTTCACGAAAATCCAAGGGGATCATATTCACCTTTGATTCTCCATACTGTCGATCGCCTCGTAAATACCCCTCCAAGTTGGCACCATTCTGGCCATATTTTACCTGTACATTCTTCAGCATGACCCAGTGGCCTTTGCCAGCTTCTGACCCAGTTCGGATTGCTTCTGCGTGAGAATCGTAACATGTGACTTGCATACTGCGCTTCCCAAACGGGCCTTCCCAAGAGGAGGCTGTGGGGAGATCCTTGCTGAATTTCGCCTGGTAGCCATATGGGTCTCCTTCCTGTACCACAGCCGTCTTGGGGCCTTTGTATTCATGGTGATAAAAGGCTTGGTTCTCCGTAAAGTCAGAGACCCACAGAGACATCCTGTCCCCGGAATCATAGGCCCTGACAATATAGACCAGTAGGTCATAAAATGTGCCGTCCTTGAGGTCCTTCAACTCGCTAAACTTTTCCTTGAAGTTGCGAGACTGAATCACCCGCGTCTCAAATTCAAACTCGGTCGGAATTCGTGTTTTATCAAGTCCATGGTAGCTAAATGGGATATGTGCGAGTTCAACCTTGTTCAGGGCTCTTTTCACTCTCGAGGTGGAGGGACTGAAAGCTGCAGAGGCATCTGCGGGGGGGCGGGGGATTTTGCTTCCTGTGAAGAGGTATATTCCAGACTCGCGATGAGTTAGAAGAGAGATATCACCAAATCCCCGTTTCTGGATCTATAATACGTGGTTAGCAACAATGAGCTAACAGGGGACTGGAGGGTGGATAACATGCTTTGAGTCTCAGCAACACCACGAAATCGCCACGGGCTGGTTTTGGCATATCTTTCTGAGGGAGAAATATGTTGACAGTCAGGGAACTCTCGTCATTGTCTTCCACCGACTTGTCATAGATTCGCATGGTGCTCTTCCAATCTGAGTTTTATGTAAGCGGCACTCATAGTTGGTGGTTCAGCACGAATGTACCTGATCCTTTTGTAGCCCTTGGTTCCTGAACGTCAATGACAACACCCATGGAATTGATGAAATTTCCAGTTTTATGATCTCCTTCAACTATTTGTTGGATTGTTGCAAAGCCAGGAGGCAGCGCGTCTGGCGCGAGCTGATTGGATGGAGCCATCCTGAAAAGTGTTTCTCCGGTACATCTGAATATCGTACGTTGAATCTATGCGGATAAAAATCACGGATTTGATCACCAAGGTGCTTTGCGGATATTCGCGAGGGCGTTCATATCCAGTGATCCTTGTCGGGCAGAACGCTCCTAAGACAGCCGCGGTAGGCAAGTTAGGCGCGTATGAGACAAGTGAGTACTGTCACGAGATCATGTGACCAAGAAATTCTGGGAGCGGCTCACACAGCTTGATTGTCCTAGCCTCGAAACAAGGCAATGCTACAAAAGTGGAATGCTAATAGTCTTGCTTTGTCACGAATACGACACAAGCTTATGGAAGACACCTAGTACGACAACTCTCATGCTCGTTGCATACCAGGCTCATCGTCCAAGAGCAGAGGCGGAAGAAGTCATGAGCCAATGAGGGCCGCCGGCTTTGTCTCCATATTTTGGGGCTAAGTCAGCGGCGAAACATGAGGCTGCAATTGGCTGTGACAAAGCTCAGCCTTTGTGCGCCTCTTGGTGCCTCAGGCAGCAGGCGGCCCCCTCCAAAGCTTCCAGGCTGTTTTCCACCCCACCAGCTCAGGAGTTGGCGGGGCCTCCGCTTTGGCGCTATGGGCTGGCCCTGGTTGTTGCTCATAGTGACAGGGCACTGGAGGCTCGCCTTGGCTTCAAAGGCACTGAAGTTTCTCCTCCCCCCCTCTAACCTTCTTCCACCATTTACCTCGAATCTCTTCCAACATCTCCCACCTACGCGACCCTTCCCCATCTGCTGAGTGCTGGATAACATCTCCATCTGCTTGCATCGCACACACGTCGCTCTGGGCGTCTTGTCCATCTACTTCTCTTTCCTTCTTTGATTTCCATATCCTGTCTTGTTTTTCTTCTTGCCGGATCGCCCCGCACAACGACACCGCCGACAACATGGCTGAACGATACATCCCGGAGCATCGCCGGACGCAGTTCAAGGCAAAGAACACCTTCAAGCCCGAAGAGCTTCGCCGCCGCCGCGAGGAACAACAAGTTGAGATTCGCAAGGCGAAGCGCGAGGAGAACCTGGCAAAGCGTCGTGGCATTGGGTCCGGTGAGAACCGCCCTGGTGCTGCTCTTGGAGCTGCTCCCGACAGTGATGACGAGTCCGCTCCTACCGAGTCTCAGGTATGTTTTCCTCCCATTTCATCCATGTGAATACCCTCGCATGGCTTTGTTTGTTTTTTTGCTTCTCCCCACTTGCCTATGTTTTTTTTCTTGTCATTGTTTGTCTTGGCCTATGACGGGGTGGAGGGGGCAACAGCGTTCGTGGAAATTATGAACTCCACCTCATAGCGCGCCGCCAGCTCTGAACCTGGTCCAAGATACACCCTCCCAAATTGCCTGCTGCATTTTTTTTTTCTCATTGGACAATAGAGAAATAGAAAGCATATCCTACCTGGCTCCCCGCACCTCAATCCCGTCACTCAAGCCATGGCACATGTATGCGGTTTACTGACAAAGAATCATGTGATAGTTGAATGAGGATCTTCCTCAGATGGTTAGCGGAGTCTTCTCTGACCAGATTGACCAACAAATTCAAGCCACTACCAAGTTCAGAAAGTTGCTCTCAAAGGAGCGAAATCCTCCCATCGAAGAAGTTATCAAGACCGGTGTCGTCAGCCGATTCGTCGAGTTCCTCAAGTCCCCCCACACCCTTGTGCAGTTCGAGGCTGCTTGGGCCCTCACAAACATTGCCTCCGGCTCTGCAACCCAAACGCAGGTCGTTATCGAGGCTGGAGCTGTCCCCATCTTCGTCGAGCTCCTTTCTAGTCCTGAGCCTGATGTCAGGGAACAGGCTGTCTGGGCTCTCGGCAACATTGCTGGTGACAGCCCCAGCTGCCGTGACTATGTCCTCGGCTGCAATGCCCTGAAGCCTCTGCTCAACCTGCTTGGCGACAGCCGCAAACTTAGCATGCTCCGCAACGCAACCTGGACCCTCAGCAACTTCTGCCGTGGCAAGACCCCCCAGCCCGACTGGAACACAGTATGTCTCCTCTCAAAGTCCCAACGCTTATTTGGCAAACCACCCTGACACTTTTTAGATTGCTCCTGCCCTTCCTGTGCTGTCAAAGCTCGTCTACTCTCTCGACGATGAGGTTCTGATTGATGCTTGCTGGGCTATTTCATACCTCTCCGATGGCTCCAACGACAAGATCCAGGCCGTTATCGAGGCTGGCATTCCTCGACGCCTGACCGAACTTTTGATGCACGCTTCCACCTCTGTCCAGACTCCTGCTCTTCGCTCTGTTGGTAACATCGTCACCGGCGATGATGTCCAGACTCAGCTCATCATTAACTGCGGTGCCCTGCCCTGCCTGCTCTCCCTCCTTAGCTCCACTAAGGATGGCATCCGCAAGGAGGCATGCTGGACCATCTCCAACATCACTGCCGGCAACTCATCCCAGATCCAGGCTGTCATTGACGCCAACTTGATCCCTCCTCTGATCCACCTCCTTCAGAATGGTGACCTCAAGACTCGAAAGGAGGCTTGCTGGGCCATCAGCAACGCCACCTCTGGCGGTCTTCAGAAGCCTGAGCAGATCCGCTACCTGGTTGCCCAGGGCTGTATCAAGCCTCTGTGCGATCTCCTTGTGTGCCCTGACAACAAGATTATCCAGGTCGCTCTGGATGGCCTCGAGAACATTCTCAAGATCGGTGACCTCGACAAGCAGGCTGCTGGTGAGGGTGCCGAGTCCGTCAACCGCTTCGCTCTGTTCATCGAGGAGTGCGGTGGCATGGAGAAGATTCATGACTGCCAGAACAACGCCAACGAGGAGATCTACATGAAGTCTTACAACATCTTCGAGAAGTACTTCTCTGATGAGGAGGAGAACGCCGACGAGGGAATGGCACAGCCCACTGGCCCCAACGGCACCTTTGGCTTTGGTGCCAATGGGCCCGCACAGTCTGGCGGCTTCAACTTCGCCAACGGTGGCGACTCGATGGACATGTAAAGATCGAGGACTGAACACTGGGCGAAATTTTTTCCCCTTTTGGATCCCCGGACCTTGGGATCTCTGGTTCTACATCACGGCGACCCGTCCAAGCATGGGTCCCTTGAGATTGACCAGAGTTTGCCAAACCCCAACCCACTGTCACCCTGGAAGACATTACACATACAATACCCCATCACGATTATGAATTTTATACATCACCCCACATCACCCACCCCCTTTTCACCAGGATGGCACATAGCATTGCTTAGGAGACCTGTGGTTGCGTCACCGAGCGATGGAGAGTAGCGGCATCGCAGGATATATGGAAGGCCCAACGGTAGCTTGAAAGCTCCGGCCTCGAGGGAATTATCAGAAATGTAATGAGAGCAGCATATCGTTGGGATTTCAATCTCAAGATGAAGTGGTCGTGACAGCTGGCAGATTAAAACCCTGAATCTGTTGGTTTTGTCAATAGGAGAAGAAAACTGATCGGCGTACGCTGCTGAGGAAAGGGACGGTCTGACAGCCAACACCAGTGTGTTGGACTTGTCGGCAAGGTTTATCTATATAGCCTACATACAGCCAAGTGGCTGAGAGCGTTCTAGTTCCTCATATTGAACTAAGAAAAGAAATTTGTCTACAAATCGTATGAACTATTTTACGTGACTAAAGTGATGCTCAAACTTAGCATGATTGTATGGATGTGATCTTTCTCTGGATTGCGAAAAGCAAGAACCAGATATGATCCTGCTATTAGATTTTCTGTTTCATGGCGGGGTAATTTATTTGGATGAGAGGGACGGTCATTGGTATGGCGGGGCAAGAATGGGAGCTGCTCTGGGGTGGAAAAAATACGCCGCACTGTATGAATATATGCTGGGTGTGAAGAAATATACAGTGCGAATAGCGAGTATCTAAAAAATTGTCAGCACAGTCCATGCTACACGACCACCTCTTTTGTGCCCCTTTCTTCCTGGTGTCGACGTATTGGGCGACTTGTAATAGTCAAGTTGTACTCGAGCTTGGAATACTTGTTTTACCGTCTCATAGAGTTCTCTAAGCATCAAGCCTGGGTGCTGAGGAGTTGACGAGGAGTATTTTTCCTCCGCTAGAGCATGTGAAAAAGAACTGTTGACAGCGCCAAACACATCCGCCTTGGGTGACACAAAGACCACATACTTGATATGGCAAAGAAAGGGAAAGCCAAGGCAGAGACGCCAGCGCCAACCCCAGCTGGGGCAGCCAAAGACGGTGCGGCGAAGGGCAAAAAGGGCCAGAAAGGAGGCGCCGCGGCAGCAGCAGCATCAGCCGTCCCTGAGGTGCCCACGGCAGGGCCGCCAAAACCGACGGTGAAGCAGATCATCGGCGGGTCGTCGTGGACGGGGAAGCTTCCCGTGAACCTGCTGAGCGAGTACTGCCAGAAGCAGAAATGGGACAGGCCGGACTACGACACAAGGAAGACCCCCGAGGGGTTCTCCGTGTGGATCACGCTGAGCGCGCGGGACCCCAAGACGCAGGAGACGACGAGGCTCGAGGCCTTCAAGATACCCGCGAGCCACAAGCACCTGATCGTGCGGGACACGGCACTCGAGGCCAAGCACGCGGCGGCGACGTACGCGCTGTTCCGGGTGTGCAGCATGCAGAACAAGCACACGGTGCTGCCGCCGGACCACAAGAGCCTGTGGAAGGAGTTCCAGGCGCTGAAGGCGCAGGACGTCAAGGACGGCAAGGGGTGGATGTACGATGCGGACCCGTTCAAGACGTTCCACGACAGGGCGGATGCGAAGGCCGCGGCGGAGAAGAAGCGCAAGGAGCTCGAGCAGGCGAAAGCCAAGGCCAAGGAGATGCCTGGAGCATCTGGCCTGGCCCTGCTGAGCAACAGTGGTGATGGGTCTGGCCGGTCGGCGAATGCCATGAAGGGGTGGACCATGGCCCCCAAGGTGGAGATGGGCCGGCAGACGAGATCGCAGCTGGAGGGGCTTCTGAGAAAAGGTATCTCTTGGAACCCTTATGGCGTTGAGATGTCCAAGGAGAAGATCGCCTCGGTGAAGGCCGAGCTCACCAAGCTGGGATTCAGGCAGAGCCACGTTGACGAGGCGGTGGGGTACTGCAAAGACCGAGAAGAGACTCTCGAATGGCTTCTTATCCATGTGCCTGAAGATGACCTCCCTAAGTGGGCACTTCCAGAACGCTACGCGGTGGGCGTTTCCATCGGAGCTACGGATCTCAAGAAAGAGGGGATCATCAAGCGACTCTCTCAAAGCGGTTACTCGCAGGACCTGTGCACTCGTATATTAAACGAGAAAGGTGGAAACGAAGAAGAGGCTGCAAGCACGCTGCAAGACTTACTATGTGGGAGGAGTGGCAACGACGAGGATGATGATGTGGACGTCGCCGACTTCCTTGATATGGGGTCGCCGAAGGAGCAGTGGGATGAGGAAGTCGGAAGTTTGGAGGCGATGTATGGTGATCACTTCCAAACCATCGACGACAAAGTGATCCAGATCCGTCTTGAGCCCATCAAGGACAAGGTCCATGGACAGATCGAGGTCTCCTTGCAGATCCGAATGGCGCCGTCGTACCCGAAGCGACTAATTCTGGGCATTGTGGCCAACCTTCCATCATATATCAAACTCAGTATCACCAAGAAGGCATTGGAATACATGGACACGCAGCTGCGGGAAGAACCGATGAAGATGTTCCTGGTTGCTGATTGGGTTCAGCAGAACATCAACAGCATTGTTGAAAAGCCAGGGAATCTCGTGGACATCTCTGCTGTTTCATCTGCGGCCTCCGAGACCAAGGTGCTCGCCCCAACCAGGCGGAATGGGAGGTCCCACGGTGCACCGAGACCAATCAGATGGATTGAGAATGCGAAGAGCAGGGAGGCGTGGCTTCGAAGACAGGAAACACCTGCATGGAAAAAAATGTCAGCCCAGAGACAGAGGCTACCCGCATGGCAGGTTCGTGAAACGCTTATACAGACTGTTAACGATAACCATGTTACGATTATCAGTGGTGAGACGGGTTCAGGAAAGTCCACACAGTCGATGCAATTTCTACTGGATGACTTGTACAATCAGGGGTTGGGTGAGTGTGCCAATATGATCATTACTCAACCTCGACGAATTTCAGCGCTAGGACTGGCGGATCGCGTAGCTGAAGAAAGATGTACGCGAGTGGGAGAAGAAGTTGGATACACGATTCGTGGCGAGTCCAAACGATCGAAAGATACGAGGATCACTTTCGTGACTACTGGTGTGCTCCTCCGCCGGCTACAAACGTCAGGTGGCAGAGTGGAAGATGTCGCAGCTTCATTGGCCGATGTCAGTCATGTGGTCATTGACGAAGTCCATGAGCGGAGTTTGGACACTGACTTCTTATTGAACTTGATTCGAGAAGTTATGCGAACGCGCAAAGACATGATCAAGCTCATCCTCATGTCGGCCACTCTCGATGCTGCAACATTCAAAGACTACTTCACCTCCGAAGGACTCCGTGTCGGCACAGTTGAGATTGCCGGAAGGACGTTCCCCGTTGATGAGTACTACTTGGATGATGTTGTTCGCATGACTGGTTACGGTGTAGGGGAGTCCAAGGATCCATACATTGGCGATGAGACCATGGGCAAGATCATCCAAAAGCTGGGAGCCCGTATCAACTATAGCCTCATCGTTGAAGCGGTTAAAGCTATTGATTATGAACTTGGCTACGAAAAGAAATCGGGAGGGATTTTGATCTTCCTACCTGGTGTAGGAGAAATCAACCAAGCCTGCAACGCTCTACGGTCTATAACATCTCTTCATGTACTGGCTCTCCACGCTTCTCTGGAGACTCGAGAGCAAAAACGTGTATTCGCCAACCCTCCCCCCGGAAAGCGAAAGGTTGTTGTGGCTACCAATGTCGCCGAGACATCGATCACCATTGACGACATTATCGCGGTGATTGATAGCGGCAAGGTGAAGGAGACTAGCTTTGACGCACAAAACAACATGAGAAAACTCGAGGAAACTTGGGCATCGCGGGCTGCTTGTAAGCAACGGCGAGGACGAGCCGGTCGTGTACAAGAGGGTAGGTGCTACAAACTTTACACTCAGAACCTGGAGCAAAACCATATGGCAGAGCGACCAGAGCCGGAAATCAGACGGGTGCCTCTAGAGCAGCTTTGTCTTTCAGTGCGTGCTATGGGTATGAAGGACGTTTCTGGCTTCCTCAGGCGATCTCCCACACCTCCAGATACTCCTGCCATTGAAGGGGCCCTGAAACTCCTTCAAAGAATGGGGGCTCTCGATGGAGATGAGCTGACATCAATGGGTCAGCAACTTGCTATGCTGCCGGCTGACTTGCGATGTGGAAAATTGATGGTATTTGGTGCCATTTTCGGATGTCTTGACGACTGCGTCGTAATTGCAGCAATATTAAGCACAAGAAGCCCATTCCTTTCGCCTTCAGACAAAAGAGAGGAGGCCAAGGAAGCAAGGATGAGGTTCTATGATGGCGATGGTGACCTCGTCACTGATTTGGAGGCATTCAGGGAATGGGACGCCATGATGCAAGATCGACTGCCGCAGCGGCAAGTCAGGTCTTTCTGCGAGGAGAACTTTCTGTCGTACAATACCTTGTCTGATATTGCAAACACCCGCACCCAGTACTATGCAGCTCTGGTGGAGATTGGGATCGTACCTCCTTCAGCAGCCACGGCCGAAACTCATTCGACTGGTTCGAGGAGCTCTCAGTTACTGCGAGCACTCATCGCCTCGGCCTTCACCCCCCAGATTGCACGCATCCAGTATCCGGACAAGAAGTTTGCAAGCTCGGTGTCTGGTGCGGTCGAACTGGATCCAGAGGCGAGATCGATCAAGTTTTTCAACCAGGAGAATGGCCGCGTCTTTGTGCATCCGAGCAGCACGCTGTTTGGGAGCCAGAGTTTCGCGGGGAGCGCGTCATACATGTCCTACTTCAGTATCATTTCCACAAGCAAGGTCTTTATTAGGGACCTGACTCGTAAGTTGATTATCTTGACTTTTGATCATTCACCTTTGTCGATAGATGGGCCACTAACTGGTTTTTACCGCAAACAGCATTCAATGTCTTCACCTTGTTACTCTTTTCCGGCCCTATAGAGCTGGACACCCTGGGCCGGGGTCTGATTGTGGATGGATGGTTGAGGCTCCGAGGCTGGGCTCGAATCGGAGTGCTCGTCGCTCGGCTGAGAGGATTGGTGGATGATTTAATCGCGGAGAAGGTCGCCAAGCCGAGCGTTGAACTTGATAATAGCGAGGTGATTTGCTTGGTGAAGAAGTTGATCGAACTGGATGGCATGGATGCATGATCAGATTGTATGACGATAGACACGACGGACATAAAATATCACGATAGATGGGGCGAGGCAGGAGTCTGCAGAGTACCTAAGGCATTATGTTAAAACAGATTATTCTAGCCATCGAACCTATATTCTCTCTTTGGAGGAACCTGATACAAAAGATTGATCATGTTTGCTACATACTAAGTTTATACCAGGCTGCCAATATTAGCTTTGAGTCAAGAGCGGTAGTGGGGCAGCCCCAATCTGACTTATACCTCCCACTTATTAGGCAGGCAGCGCCTCCAACTTACACCGTGCTCCATCTCTACCCAAGAGCCTCTTTCACCAACCTTGCACTCCTTGGCTGGTGTTCTTTTCTGGAAGTGATCACATGATGGGCTCACCAGGCTCCGACTCGGACGAAGCAATCACCAAGGATGAAATCCAGGGTGTTGAACCTCCACAAACCAAGAGCAGCCGAAGCAAAAATGCATGTATGTAGCTGCCCGTCACCACCATCCATCTTCCGCTCACTGAAACCCAAAAGTCACAGAGCTCATGAGACCCAAGCCCAAGGCTCCTCCTGCACAGGGCCACAGCCCCTCCAGCTTTTCCAGAGGCGGCCACCCGTTCAAGGACCGCATGGGCCTGGGCGCCTACCTGGCTGACCCGTCGTCCTTCCCGCCATCGCGGGTCATCTACCACACCCCGGACTTTGTCGTCATCAACGACCTGTTCCCCAAGTCCACCATCCACACCCTCCTGCTCCCGCGCTCCCCCAGGCACAACCTCATGCACCCGTTCGATGCCCTCGAGGACGCCGACTTCAGGGCCAAGGTCGTCGCCGAGACGGGGAAGCTCAAGGCCCTCGTGGCCAGCGAGCTGCGCCGGCGCCTCGGCCACAACAGCAGGGCGGACGCGGCGAGGCAGGCGGTTCTGGACGGCGACGACGACCAGGTTGCGCCGGACGTGGAGCTCGATCCGGCCGACGGGCTGCCCCGCGGCCGCGACTGGTCGAGGGAGGTCATCGTCGGCGTCCACGCCAAGCCGAGCATGTCCCACCTGCACGTCCACGTCCTGTCGCGCGACATGCACTCGCCCAAGGTCAAGCACCGCAAGCACTACAACTCCTTCAACACGCCCTTCCTCGTCGACGTCGCCGACTTCCCGCTGGAGCTGGATGACCCGAGGAGGCAGACCAAGGAGGCCGGGTATCTGCACAGGGACCTGCGGTGCTGGAGGTGTGGGCGGAATTTTGGGAACCGCTTCAAGCAGCTCAAGGACCATTTGGAAGAGGAGTTTGAGGAGTGGAGTCGGGAATAGCGTGAGGCAGTGATTCCAATACTCACGAGACCTAGTAAAGCTGCAACTCCAAGTCTTCGCCGATACGAATGGGTGTACGCCGGGGACAACCAGGAAGCATGGCAGGAAAACAGAAGGCTGCGCTGCCCGAAGCTCCGCTGCTCTCGCTCTGGCTGCTAGCCGGCCCATCTTGATCTGTGTCCAGTCGCCCGTCCACAGCACCCTTATATCTTTTGTTCGGGGCCTGGTAGCAATACCAGCATAAAAAAACAAAATTCCATTATTACGATAAAGCGCCCACCCGGCCGCTTTGGCTATAACTCCTAGCTATCCTGATACCCACGCGGTGTTTGTCCGCCAGAAACCCTCCCTTGGCTAGATGTTTTAGCCTAGTAATCGATACAGAACGCAGGTAAGGGACGTGTTTCATTTCTGTTGTGAGTTTACTGCAAAGATAAAGAAAAAGATTTCGATCAACCCGACCACCCGTCATTGTGCTGATTTACTCGCTGTTTTCATCAGCATCCTATGTGATGTGAGCCGTTAGTCTTGGTATTTAAAGTCTGTAGGGGGGAAGGGAGGACTAACATCATTGGCCTCATCTTCGATCTGCTTGTTTGCTGCAGAGTCAATGATGTTAGCTACGCGCGCCTTCAAACGAATAAAGCATCAGGGGGTTTGCATACCTTCGTCCTCTTCCTCATGCTCCTCGTCGGCATCCTTCTCATCAGCCTTGTCGTCGGCCTCTTCCTCTTCCTCTTCCTCTTCCTCAGCTGCCTTGGATGCTCTCCTCCCCTTCTTGGCCGCGGACTTGGGGGTTGTGGCGGCGCCAGCGTCTGCGTCCGACTTGCGAGGTCGGCCGCGGGTACGCCCACCCACCTTGGGGGTTGCTGGCTTAGCAGCTGCTTTGGCAGCGCGCTTGGCGGCAGCACCCGGCTTTCCGCTTCCCTTGGGGCGACCGCGGGGGCGTCCAGTGGGCACGTATGCGGGCTTGGGCTTGGGCGGGCCTGAGGTGCCGTCCTTTCGAGGACGTCCACGGCCACGCGCCGGGGTTCCCTCAGGCTTGCTAACACCTCCAGCGGCCCCGCGAGATCCGCGGCCTGAGGCGGCTGTGTTGTCCTCCTTGGGAGAAGCTGCTGGCTTTGTCTTTGCCATCGTTATTGAAGGTGAATATCAAGAATATCGATAGTTCTCGGTATATGCTGTTCGCGGTTCTGGCGCTGAACCTTGGCTTGGAAGCTGGATCCGCGATGCGACAGGCTTGAAACGTGCGATATACGAGGAATTTGGCGCGTTCAAAATTGTTTCAGAATGAGGGACGAACGAACGAGGCTTTAGGGAGGGAAACAGGAGGTTCGGGGGCGTGCTCGTTGAGAAAAAAAATCCGAAGGAGAAAAGGAAAACGCGTTTCGACCTGCGGTTGAGATTACAGGTAAGGATAAAGCTAGCACGACGCGTTCGGGTCACGCTCAGGCAGTGCGCTAAATCGCAGAGGGGGGCGGGATCGAGCCGACGCTCTGCAGGCGCTAAATTACAGGGACCTGCAGTGTAAATTCAGCATGGAAGCGGGGGCCGAGCCGCACATAATCGATTCTTCAATGGACTCGGCCTTGAGTACAAACCATCCTTATCCGGCTGCATGCAGCTGACAACGCGGTCGCAATTTGAAACAACCTATTACTCTCCTGCAGCAGTAACCTAATCGCTCGATCAATTGGCTAGATCCTCATTGTCTGCAGATACCGAAACGTTCTGGCGCATTTCATGATTCCCACTCGTCGCCAGCCGGTTTGCAGAGCTTGCGCCTGGAGGAACGCCAGCCCCAATACCTCGATTTTATTATATGTGAAGCGTTAAAGAACTACAGCCTGCAGGTCTCCCTGCCAAGATACCTTTGATTCTTGCGCGGAACGAAACGAGTCGGCGACGTTAGAGGTGAGACCAAGATTTGAAGGGCTTTTCACACATCTCATCATACTGGTAGAAAGTCCAAAGTCAATTCCGAACCATCAAATCCATACAAATCATTTGAAGAAACACAGGAAATATTTGTCTTTCTATTCGCTTGAGGCCAACGCCAATACCTGGAACACCAGTATAGAGAAACCATAGCGCGACCTTGCCTCGTCTCCAATACCACCCACCTACACAACAAGCTTGATCCATGCAGCACTAAGAGGTGTCTTACCTCAATCGGCTTTAAGTAAACAAAGTGGTGCCATCAGCAGCGCCTGACCATCACACGATGCGCGCGAAGGAGGGGTCAATCTGATGTACGTTAGTGGCAGAAGAGATGTTTTAAACCTGGAGATCGATCTAATGTCTGTTCCACCAGACGTTGCTCTTCTTCCGCTTCATTCTGCACCTGGCGAGCTGCATCGCAATCAACAAGCGCCCGTATCCATCCAGTTACCAGGCCCCCCTGCTGTAGCGGATAAGCTCTTGGATTGAATCACCCAGCGACCCAGATTCCGCCCACGCCAACTGGCCGGGGCCCCAGCACAGGCCGCCCAACAGCAGCCAGCGCACCCAACCACGCCTGTCGCTACCTAACCTACAGGCTACGTGCCCACTATCCGACTGCTAGGCCCATCTGGTTGACCCTAGCAACCAGCCCATCTCCCAACTAGGCAAGCAGCATAAACAAGAAAAGTGGACGGAAGGAAGTCGGCCTTTGAAATGTGGCACATTCTTCGTCAACGCTGCCAGAATTCTATCGAGCAAGTCAATTACACACTCCGGGACATGGCCCTCGACTCCAGACTCATGCCTTCCTCGCCCGATCCCCAGCGTGTTGTACGCTCCTCTGCCTCAACCCCTTCTCTGCGCTCGCGCGATGGGACTGTTCCCATGCTCTCCAGAATGGACGGCGGAGGCAATGTGCGAGTCGTGGTCCGCGTGCGGGCTTTCCTCCAGAGAGGTGAGTGGGAGCTTTTTCTCTTTGTGTGAAGTTTAGAGGAGGTTGTTACTGACTCACGTCGGCGCAGAGCTCGCCAAGCAGATTCGCTGCCTGATAGACATGGACCCGATCACGCAGCAGACGACTCTCCTTCCACCAGACGATCCGGACGCTGCCAGCGGAGGGAAACAGCTTCAGCCAAAGTCACGCAAGGTCTACGAGGAGAAGAACTTCACATTCGACAACTCGTTCTGGAGTCATGACCCAACAGACAAGCACTATGCCACACAATCAGACGTCTACAACAGCTTGGGAGAAGAGTTTCTCGATCACAACTTCGAAGGGTACCATACCTGCATATTCGCCTACGGGCAGACAGGTTCCGGGAAGAGTTATACCATGATGGGAACGCCGGACCAACCTGGCCTGATTCCTCGGACGTGCGAGGATCTGTTCGAACGCATTGATGCAGCACACGCCGAAGACACCAACATCGCCTACAGCGTGCGAGTGTCCTATTTCGAGGTGTACAACGAGCATGTGCGAGATCTCCTCGTGCGCTCCGACCCCAACAAACCTCCCAACTATCTCAAAATCCGAGAGTCTCCCACCGAAGGCCCGTACGTCAAGGATCTGACAGAGGTTCCCGTCCGGAACATCGATGAGATCCTGCGGTACATGACCAACGGTGATGCATCAAGAACAGTGGCCAGCACCAAGATGAACGACACTAGTAGCCGAAGTCACGCCGTCTTCACCATCATGCTCAAGCAGATTCACCACGACATGGAAACGGACGAGACAACCGAGAGAAGCTCGAGAATACGACTGGTGGATCTCGCGGGTAGCGAGAGAGCCAAGTCAACCGAGGCCACAGGTGCCCGGCTGCGAGAGGGCAGCAACATCAACAAGTCACTCACCACGCTGGGCCGTGTAATTGCCGCCTTGGCAGACCCGAAGGCGCTGCGGGCGGGCAAGCGGAAAGACGTCGTGCCGTACCGTGATTCTATCCTGACCTGGCTGCTCAAGGACTCACTGGGAGGCAACAGCAAGACTGCCATGATTGCTTGCATTGCGCCGTCGGACTATGACGAGACGTTATCTACGCTCCGGTATGCCGACCAGGCCAAGAGGATCCGAACTCGTGCTGTTGTCAACCAGGACCACATCTCCACTGCTGAGAGGGACGCCCAGATCGCAGCCATGGCAGAGGAGATCCGCCTACTTCAGCTCTCCGTCTCCGACTCGCGGCAGAAAGAGAAGAATGCTCAGCAAGCTGAGGAGAGGCTGGAGGAATACCAGAACCGCGTCGCTGCAATGCAGCGAAAGATGGAGGAGCGTAGCATGGTGGCCGAGAGCAAGATCAAGAAGCTCCAGACCGAGAACGAGGCTCTCAAGCTGCACCTCAAGCTCGCCATCGACAGTCTCAAGAACCCCATCCCGCCAGTCACCGTCAAGAGCATCGACGAAGGTGTGGACAACAAGGAGAATATCGACGCAGACGACATATCCGAGGCCGACGATTATGAGTACGACTATGACTCGGAGAGCACTGCATACGGTGAAGACGACCTGCAGGAAGACATGAGACGCTATCTGACGGACATGGGCAACCTACGGAAACTGATTGGGGGAGACATGATGCGCTTCAAGGACGAGGAGAGCGCCAGGATGCCTCTCGGGGCACGTGAGAATATCTGAGCCAAGAGCTCTCTTTGATGGAAAGCATGGTGTTTGGGAGTGAATATCACGACAGGAAATATTGTTCATTCACACTTTGGTTCATGTCTTGTTTGTTTCTTTTTGTCAAGCCATAGGAGTTTGTCTACTTTTGGTCAAGATAGTATCAACATAAATTGGTTCAACTACCTATATACAACATCAACTACGACCTCGCCGTGAGAGATTGTGATTCTTTTCCTTTTTTGGACAGCTCCGTCGTAGTTGGTCTTTGCTTCCGGCCAACCGCCCCACCTACAACGACAGTTCCCCATCGACGTCCAAACAAGAGCTTCACCGGGCCCTTCATAACTTATAACTTACACACCTTACACGGCAATGTCGCTTGAAGCGCCAAGGCCTTAATCTTAGGATTCATTCTCCTTCACCTACTTGGATGATACACCTGTAAAGCAATATCAATTGACGGCGAGCCCTGCGAGGCCCTCCAACGCAAACGACCTCCAACTCGCTCGCCAAACAAATCCAATACGCATATCACAACTTCATCCACCGCAACCCCAAAACAATGCCCGCCCGAGTCCCCTCCGCAAAGGACTTCGAGTCCCTCGCCCCCACCCTCCCACACTCCCTCCACTTCCCCTCCCCGCCAGAGTCCACCACCTCCATCCTCATCCTCCTCCACGGCCTCGGCGACACGGACGCCTCCTTCGCCTCCTTCGCCCGCGGCATGAACCTCCCCGGCGTCCTCGCCATCTCCGTCCGCGGCACCTCCCCGCTCCCCGCCGGCCTGCTCCCCGGCCCCGGTTCCGCTCAGGGCTTCCACTGGGGCGACGACCTGCTCATGGACGAGGGCCGGGGCGAGCTGGACACTGATCCCGGCTTCGCGCGCGCGCGGGACCTCGTGCTGGGCGAGCTGGTGCGCGGGTTGCTAATCGGGAAGCTGGGGTGGGAGACGAGCGACGTCATGTTCTTCGGGTTCGGGCAGGGCGGTTCCCTGGCCCTCGGTCTGGCGTCCCAGCTGCGCGTGCAGCCAAAGGTCGTGGAGGTCTCGGATGGCGACGGTTCGGGTTCGAGCTCGAACTTGGGCGGGGAGACTTGCAAGGGCGCCGTGTCGATTGGCGGTCCTTTGCCCTACTCGATGATCCCGACCGTCAGTAGTCGGAAGAAGAGCAAGTCAAAGGTACTTGCTGTGCAGCTATCTGACAGCAATATTGATACGATAAAGAAGGAGTTTGAGGATGTGAGAGTCGTGCAGTGGAAGAGGAGGGAAGTCGACATGCCTAGGAATAGAGAGGAAATGTTCCCTATTATGAAGTTCTTTGCTGACCAAATGAGAAGTTGGGGATAGACAAGTTTCTTCACATCAAAATTTTACAAAGCAAGAATTTAATAACAGTCATGGGTATCATATTTTTGCGACTCCTATATGCTATCGTGCCTCATCTCGAATTGCCCATCTGAAGCATCTCTGCCAATGTGTCCCATTTCGCTGATTGGGAGTCACCCTTGGCCCTGGCCACACTTCGCAGACCTTCTGTGATAAACCGTAAATGTCTCTCAAAATCCTTCTGTATCTCGCTCAGCGCTTCCAAGGTCGTATTCCCTGCATATGATTGCTCCAGCTTGATCGCTAGGTCCATTATATCAGACATGCATTCCCTGATCGGTTCAAGCCGAGCCCCGAGGCAAACACCATCGACAATATTCTTCATAAATGTATCGTGCACAATGATGAGGGCGTCTACATCTTGAGCTTCTCGGAGTTTTTGTCTCATTTCCAAGAGGTGAGGTGTGAGTACCAGTGTCGATATGTAGTTTTGCATCGTATTACAAAACCACAAAATCCTAGTTCGGCATGAGTAATACAGTGCTCGTGCCTCCCAGTCCTCGTGGTCTGTCCAGTAATGGTCCAAAATCTTGGGTTTGTGTAGCTCATACGCGGCTCTCTTGAACTGAAGAAGGAGAGAGAAGATCTTCTGGTAATTCTCCATGCTCGTTGATGACAGAATCATTTGTACCGGCCATGTGAGGCGATAGTCAATCTTAACATGTGGAAGTACAGATCGTACAGAGTCTCTTGCAGAAGTAGGAGATTCATCCATCCCCAGCTTATCCACAATAACAGTTAAACGGTCCGCGTCTAGCAGAGCCCCGAAAGCTTCCTGAGCAATCGCTGTCAAGAAGTATCGACTTCTCCATGAGGGGTCAAGAGAATTCATCTTGGCGAATATGGCCTCGTGGAAGATGGTCGACGCAGATCCATCTGACATGAAATAAAGTCTCTCCAGTGAATCTAGGTTGGAAAACAACGCGCACTGTTCAAATAGGGCCGTCTTGAGGGTGGTCGATGTCGAACGGTATTTGCTTTGTATCCAGCGCTCAAAAGCAGCAGCGAAAAGATCTGGAAATGGCGCGAATTCAAACCCAGCTGGACAAATAGAGTCGTAGTCCAGAAATGGCTCTTCTTCCTCCACGTGACGTAGAATGGATTGATACTCCAAACGCTTCAAGACCACGATGTTTTTTCCCGCATTCATAATCTTGCTCGCGGCGGGTTGGAGGAACATAGGCGCATGAAGATTTCCGTCCACACCGGTACGAAACTTGAACCGATCACTCCATATACGACCAAGAGTCAATTCCGCCGATGTTTCGTATATGAAGAACGAGCCACCAGTCTGCAGCTTGCCTTCATCCATCCATAGCCTAATAGGTCTTAGATAGACGTTGAAACATTTTACGAAGACACGTGCAAGAGACACATATATCAATGTATCCTCACTCGATTGAGCCAGTGTTGCGCCTTGGTATAGCAACTCGAGATGACGAAAAGCTCCGGAGTCAGAGGTGTCGTTCATTCCGGTAACGACTTCTGCCAATGCATGCAACGGTCGTAGCCACGGAGTTAGTTCTGTCTTCAAAGCCATCAGGCTAACAACTTCGTCTTTTTGGGGGCACGCAAGGCGGGCGTGTATTTCCGACAATTTTTGGTCAAAGTCGAGCAAATGGCTTCCGATGGAATCTTGAAATGCTTGTATATGGGCCAAATCTTGACTTTTCTTCATGAATTTCCTAAGAGGGGCAAGACGCCGGCCAAACTCAGCAAAAGTGTTGATTAACGCTCTGTGCGTATCCCACGCAATGTGCGATATTTGAAAAGAGGGTACTGGGACAATGTTGCGATCAAAGAGAGTCGTGTCAAGGCCTTGAAGCATGAACAGAACTTCACGAAAAACATGTGCTTCGCTGACACCGACTTTGCGTATCCTCCCCGATGCGTCTGTTGCAGGCTTGGCCGTGCGCCAACTTTGAGACTCTCGTACTGAGCTGAAGACCGACTCGTCTTCTGGATGGACTATTTTGGTTCCAGTATTCCTAATTGGCCCCTCAGCATCACTAGGATCAGTTTCAGATAATGAATCTGAGCCATCTGCGGTGTTGGCATATGACAACTCCTCATCTGAACTGTCACTATATTTGATCGACTTCCAAAGCTCAGCATCTTGATCCCAGCCATCTTCTTGGGCAATCGTCTCCCAGCGCAATGCGGAGGCATCGTCTTCCTCAGGCTGCCGTAGCAGTTCAAGGTCGGTGAGCTCTGTGTTGAAAGTCGGTTGGTCAGAGAGCTCAAGAAGTAAGAAGAGGATTTCAGGATGCCATTTAGTTGACACGTCTTGAAGCTTTTCCAGCCTCTCGTGAAGATTATCCGCCAAATCATCTCGGTTATTCACCCGGAAGCGCTCTTCAAGGCCATCCAGAGTATTGGCGACGTCAAATTGATTTGTGCGCAAAAATGGATGCGATTTCAGTTTCCGTAGAACCACATCGCGATGATGCTTATGCCTCTCAGGGTGTCTCTAACACGAATCGTCAGCTACTTCTCGGCATTTTTACCCAGCTTACGGGAATTAGAATCTCGCACCTGAGAGGATACGTGGGTTACGGCTTCAACAAGCTCGCTGGTGAGCGGCCCAAGTCGAGTTGCAAAGGCCATCGTCGTGGCGCGTCTTCCACCAAATAGTTGTTTCCGTTGTCGTATTGAATCAGGCTCTGCGGAACTGGCATCATCATTTCGTTTCTTTTTTGTTTTCTTTTTTTCTTTATAAGTGTAAGTGCCTAATCCTGGACAAAGCAGGTAAAAGTGGTTTATAGATCGTTCAGTCGTAGATATGGCAGACCGTTTGAATATGAGAAGAATTTCATATAGTCAGAATGCCTATAGAAGATACATCTCAGGGCCTGCATGTGTCGCTCCTTCCACTGCCAGGCGGATCAAGCTCATGCGCGGCAAGCTGGTATCATGCAAAGGCAGGTGCGATGCAGCCGAGCGGTGGACGCGTCCGTTGGCAGGAGCAAGGGCCTGAGCTTGAGCGGAGTTTTCCCTCCCTTACGTACGCTGGGGAACCGTGATAAGCTTTTGCTCCACTTTTCGCGCCAAGGCCGCCGCAGTGATTGGTGTGCAAGCAGTGACATCAGGAGTCTTGCGTATCGAATTCGAAACCCCTGATAGCCCCGAAATTATGGACATCGCCATGTTTCCAACGGCCCATCTTTCCCCCTAACGCATTTTACTTTCTTCTAAACGTCAAACGGCCATCATCTGTCTGATGCGCTTTTCATGAGGACGCAAGAGCCATGCTGTAGCGCTTCTTGACGTCTTTTCCCTTTTATTATTCGCATGCTAGTCATCGTTCTTCATCAATGTCCAATTGAGACTTCGACAGGTCCACCACAGGCATACTCCAGCTAGCCGGCACCAGCCATGGCGTTAGCACGGCCCGTAAGGGCAATGATCGTGTTCGCCGTCATTCTCTGGTGCTTTGTCGTATTTCAGATCTTCAAGCCCATGCCAGAGAGGCATGGCCCCGGCGACCGATATCTCAACTTCGAGCGAGATCCTAACCTCGACCGTGAGCCATTCGAACCAGCGCCAACATCGCACACGTGCCCAAGACAATCGCTAACATATTCCATTTCCAGCAACTGGCGAACCGGAAGGCATCCTCACGCGCGCCTCTGAGAAATATCATCCCAATGCGAAGAATACAGATCGAATCGATGCCACATTGCTGGCCTTGGTAAGAAACGAGGAAGTGGATGACATGGTGTCCTCAATGATCGATCTCGAAAGAACCTGGAACAAAAAGTTCAACTACCCATGGACTTTCTTCAACGACAAACCATTCACAGAGGAGTTTAAGAAGAAAACATCGGCTGTGACCAAGGCCAAGACCTACTACGGTGCGTTGATCTAGATATCAGGCCCTTGCTCTTACTAACTTTCCCCACAGAGGTTATCCCAGATGAGCATTGGGACAAGCCAGCATGGATTGACGACCAGATATTCGCCGAGTCGGCAAAGGTTCTTGAGGAGAATGGCGTGCAGTACGCGAGCATGATGTCCTACCACAAGATGTGTCGCTGGAACAGCGGTCTCTTCTACAAGCACCCCGCCCTAAAGAACACACGCTACTACTGGCGTGTTGAACCCAAGGTGCACTTCTTTTGCGACATTGAGTATGATGTCTTCCGTTACATGTACGACAATAATAAAACCTACGGATTCACTATCAACCTGTACGACGACCCCAAGACTCTTCCAACCCTGTGGCCAGAAACGGTCAAGTTCTTGGCAGAGCATCCGGACTACCTCCACGAGAACAGTGCTATGAAGTGGCTTACCGATGATGTCCACCGTCCTGACCACAACCGCCAGGCCCAGGGATACTCTACATGCCACTTTTGGAGCAACTTTGAGGTCGCCGATATGGAATTTTGGCGAAGCCAGGCGTACGAGGACTACTTCAACCATCTCGATCGTGCTGGAGGCTTCTTTTATGAGCGATGGGGCGACGCGCCTGTTCACAGCATTGCTCTTGGAATGCTCGAAGATGCAAACAAGCTTCATTGGTAAGACCACGACGCTATGAGGAGTAGGTGAAGATAATTACTAACAATGTTGTCGCAGGTTCCGTGATATTGGGTATCAACATATTCCCTTCTTCAACTGCCCGAACTCGAACAAATGTAAAGGCTGCGTTACTGGCCGCTTTACTGATGGAGAAGCCTGGCTCCATCGCGAGGATTGCAGACCTTCATATTTCCAGCATGTTGGCATGAGCTAAACGACGAAACGCCTAAATTTTGGACACAATCATTCTTGGGGGGAGGGATATTGATGCTCTTCGAGCATGTATTTTTATCTGCTAATTAGCTCAGAGGCATGGGATCATGGATTGTCGGGGTCGAAATACTCCCAAATCGGCAACCTTGGACCATGTGTCTTGTCGTTTCTCAGCCATTGGCAAGTGGTGTTCCAGGCGCCGGCCGGCCTTCATCAATACACGGGTAATGGTAGGAATTATGATGTATATGGGTGTATAGAACAACTCTTTTGGATGATAATACGAGATTGGAAACCCCTTCGACATAGCATAGAGGCGTGGTTTTGAATTATGGTTGATTCTATTCATAGCGCTCCAAAAACTGTAACCACACCCGAAGTGCCTCCAACACAGAATTGATCCCCCCATCCATTATTCCTCCAAGCCATGCAGCTCACGACATTGCTTCTGACCTTCTCTTTCCCATCTCTCCCCACCACCTTTTTCCGCTGGTCTGGCCCGCCCGGCCCCCACGGCACCCTCACCTCGGCGACCAGACGGCCGTTGAGCAGGTCCCACGCCCAAATCCTTCCCTCACCATCTGGGGGCGATTCATCGCCCGCAAGAACGTACTTCTCACCACCCCCCAATATCGACTGCACCCTCAAGTCGGTGTTCTTAAACCTCGGGTCCGAGTAAGCCCGAAGGCACTCCCCAGAGTCACGATCCATCAACCTCAGCTTACTGTCCAGCGTCCCCGTGAGCATCGCTCTCCCATCCCTCGTCAGATCCAGGCTCGTGACGCTAGCCCCCAGCACGTCCGTGGTACACCTCCCCATCCGCACGTCGTAGCTCCTCACCCTGCCGTCCACGCTGCCCGCGACGACCTCGGGCCCCCGCACGGCCAGGCACGTCACGGCGTCGCGCGCCTCCTCGAGCACCTGCACGGGCTTGGGGTTTGTGCTCCTCGCGTCCCACAGCCGCACCGTCGTGTCGAAGCCGCCGCTGGCGACGAGCGAGCCGCCCTCGCCCGCCATCCTGACGCAGTTGACCCGCGAGGAGTGGCCCCCCGGGCTCGACCCGCCGAAGCGCCGGGTCGTCTTGGCCGTGGCCACGTCCCAGAGGAAGACGGCGCGGTCGCCCCCCGAGCTGACGAAGCGCTCGTTGTCGGCGGCGACGTCGAGGCTGAGGACCTCGTACCCGTGGGCCTGGTAGGACTGGATCAGGCGCCCGTGGGGGACGTCGGGCTTGGGAGGAGGGTGGACGGAGGGGATGGTGGTGCTGGGGAAGGGGTTGTACAGGCGGATGGTCCTGTCTGACGACCCGGTGAGGATGTAGGTTCCAGGCGACGCTGAGTACGCGACTGCGTGGATTGGGCCTGTGGCTCGGGTCAGTTGTCTATCCGGAGTTTGCTGTAAGTGAAGGGGGAGACTTGGAGTTGAGACAGACCATTTGCGCCCAGGAGAAGGGCTGCTGGCTGTGTCGGAAACGCCATTAAATTAGATGGAGTGAGGCGCCCATCTCATCCAGTGCAGGCTTCCTTGTAAGTTCCCCTGTCGATGGAATGAGAAATTGACGGGTCTGATGAACTGGATGTTCTGATGGTTCTGGCTTGAAAGCAGATGAATGAGAAGAGAATGTTTCGGTCACTCATTGGCTGACGTTCTACGTGACCCACTTTGTTGTGGTCTCAATCAACCTGCCAGACAAGCAGGAACCAGAGTCACTTCGATAGAATAATCATGGTAGTCAAATGCCTCCTGTTGTGTAGTAATAATTTGATAATACTGCCTAGGAAATACTCAATTAGTTTTTGAAATCTTGAATTATTGTCTCTACGTGTTGTAGCCTATATGAGAAAGTTGATTAGGAGCCACCTCTGCAGTCCCCGTTATACTAACAACCACTCGCCGAGTATAGACTCAAAAAACATTTCAAAAAGGCTGCTTTTCTGTGACATTTTTTCAGCTAGTTTAAGGTCTATATGACAAAAGTTTACCCAAAGATTATTAGAAGATTCTCACATCACTAAATGATGAAAATAGGAGTGTCATCTTCTCCGAACTTCACAAGCATACATCAGCAATCACATTTCAAGAGTCGAGGATCAATGCAGTCAAAAAGTATATTTGGGGCGTTGCAGCCCCCCGATCTTTAGACCTCTGCTATTTCCCAATCGCATAGCAAAAATAACAACAAAAAGTCATCTGATCCCGATGACCAGTGGTATCAATCCCGGAACGCCTAACTGTCAAAGATGCTGATGAGCCACCTCAGTTTACGCAGCGCGCGCACAAAACATATATATGAAAGAAAAAGAAAAAAGACTAAAATGATGTATGGCAAGATATGTAGACGAAAGACGTAAACTTCAATGTATATGCAAGAAATAGGAAAATTGTTCGTAAAGTCCTTTGTTCCCTTGGGAAGGGAAAATTTAGTGCAGACCCAAGTAGATGACATCCATTTCAGCTGCAAAGGTCCTGCCCAGAGGCTCGGTGAACTCCCAGTGGAGCTCCTTGTCCTCGCTCTTGCCCCAGGGCTTGGAGGTGAGAACGTAGCCCTCTGCCGGGCTGACTGGCTGGGGCCCACGCTCGAAGATCCTGTTGAGGAGGTAGGTCCTCCTCTCGATGGCGTGCTGGATGTTGCGCGAGTCGTCCCAGATGTTGGTCATGTTGTCAATGGGGGGTCGCACGCGGCGGATGTTGTCAATGACCTTCTTGGCAAGGGAGAGAGGCTGGCTCGCGGAGAGCACGTCCACAGCCTCGGCGACAGCAATGGCAAGCATGGGCGGGGGGACGCTCATGTTGGTAGTGCGCGATCTGAAGAGACCGTCGATGCTGTCAACCATGTCGATGGTGTCGGCGGCATGCTCCTGGCATGCGCGCACGTGGTGGAATCGCGCCTCGCTCGACAGCTGGCGGGGAGCACGGCTGTGGCGGTTCAACTTGATCATGGCATGGTGGTAGAGGAGGTGCATCGAGGCAAAGGGGCCCATGTTGCCCTCGGTGGCAGCCGCCTCAAGGTTCGAACGGTTCAGTGACAGTCTGGTTGGTAGGGTAGACTGCCACGACTCAATTGATCCCATCAGACCACGTACCTTATTGAACTCACCCTCGGCAGATGCTGGCCTGTGGACCAGTCTGTACACAATAGCCTGGCTCTCAGCCCAGAGGTGGACCATCATCACCAAGTAGGTGGCGATCTCATCAGCGTGGTTAGACATCTTTGAAAGGCTGAGCGAGTGAGGGTTGAAGACTGGGGCGAGACTCTCTACCTGCTCCTCAAAGCTGCGGCGATCACAAGGAAGACGGATGTAGATGTCCTCAGGGTTAATCATTGTGACGCGATCTGGGAACATGCCACTCAGCCGCTCGAGCATGAATAGAGACCAAATAGTTCGCCTCCTTGCCTCGCAGTAGCCAGCTCGGTTGAGACCCAGGGGAAATGACGAGATGGAGGCCTCGTTGGAGTTGTCCAGTTCGAGATTCAGCTGCAGGGAGGCGACAGTTGCCGCGGCCGCAGACATGAGTTCGTTAGCCTCACGCTTTCGGCCGACGGAAACGTAGTAGAGACCAAGAAGGACTCGGCTCTGAGCGAGCTGCAGGCAGTTGAACTGCATCCCCTTCTGCGCGTACTGGGCCACCTGTGCGTATTCGAATGCAATGTGCTTTGGGCCTCCGGACAAGGCAACTCCCACTGCCAAGATGCTGTACAGGAGCATCAGATCCTCGGGCAACTTCCGCCGAGTCGAGTCAGTAACCCAAGCCCTGGTAGATCGCTCGGGGAGCAGCGTCAAGACCATGGTACCATCGACATGTGAGAAGAACTGCGAGACAACAGCCTTGATAGACTGGGGGTCAGTGACGAAGGGGTCTGTCTGCCAGGCTCGGTGCAAGACGTCGTCGGGGATGCGGGGCATGGCCGGTGTTGCCGTCAGGATAGGCGAAGCGATGTGGGATCTGGATCGGTGGAAGGGCATAGAGTTGGAAGGCGGCGAGTCTCGATTTGGCACGTATGTCTGCTGGTCAACTTTCAATCGCTTGTTGGATCCCGCATCGGCGGAAGATGGGCGGTACTGAGCACGGGGGGAGACTGGAGAGACCGATCGGCGGCCAAAATCCTCGGCGGACACTCGTCGAGAACTGCCACCGGTTCGAACATCGTCGAGTTCGGCTGGTGGTGTAGATGGGGAAGTATTGTGACCACCTCGCGGACTTGATTTCATTGAGTTAGCACAAGGGATCGCACTCCCACGTCAGTCAAGGTGGTTAACACTCACGCATTCTTGAATCTACAGACTCGGCCAAACTTTTCGCACTGAATGCACCGGGGGTAGTCGGGGTCGCACTTGATCTTCTTCTCACGGCAAGTGACACAAGCAATTGCCAGCCTCTTTCTTGGCTTGCCAGCCTTGGTCACACCCCAGTGGGGGGTGACAGCCTCGCCATCGATAACCGTCTTGCAGTGAGTTCCATCGTCGTAGAAATAGCAAAGTCCTTCACCTGGCACATCGGCGGCCTTGACAAACCTCGGCAAGAAATGCGTCCCTGTCCAGATCTTCGGTCCAAGAGTGCTCTTCGTCGAGGAGCCATCAGCTTGCGACGTGCTGTTGGCGGTGGATGGCGGGTTGGCGGCGGTGGAAGAAGGCATTCCATGCTCCCTGAAGCCGCTGCCGGCCTCCTTTTGTCCTGTAAACTGCAGGCGGAAGTGGTCTTGGGAGGGCTGCATCGTGCGGCTTCGACCAAATTCGCCCCTCCCCGCCTCAGCGTCCAACCGGCTCTCCTGTGCGTTAGTTGGGCGAAACCGTGGTGATCCAGGCCCGGAGGCCGATCGTCTCAGTCCTTGGAATCCGGGCTTCTCCGCACTGCCATCATACGAAGTTCGTGGGTGCGATAAAGGTGGTGATAGTGTGGGTGGGAAGTAAGAATCGCTTCGCCCAGCAGAGACATGTCGAGGGCGGTCCATTCTTGGTGACGAGGTTGCGAGAGAGTTGTGTCTATCTGAATGGGGCGAATTCAGAGGACGAGGAGCTGGAGGAGGAGGTCCGAAGATGCTGCTTAATGAGGGAAGCTGCTGCTGTGGCTTCTGTTGTCCGGCGCCCAGGTTGTCAGCCAGCTTGGGGCTTGTCTCTGAAGCCTTCTCGCTGACCATCGTGCTGCTGCTGCTGCTGCTGGGGTTCTTGTCGTAATCCTGCATCGGGGGTGACGATATGGAGCGGGAGCTCCAGGCAACTTCTGTAGCTGGGGACGATCTCGATGAGAAAACTGTGGTTGTCGGGCTCACCAGAGCAGGTGGTGTGTCTGGAGGAAGCAGACGCTGGCCAGATTCGAAGGCAGCTAACCCACCCATTGAGATAGCTTTACCTTCTGTGATTTTTTAGGGATTATGGGAAATTCAAGTGTGCCGTAAGAAGCCCACAGGCATGGCCCGAACGAGTGTTTTCCTCCCAATCAATGTGATCAACACGTAGATGTTCTTGTAATAGTTTAGTAGCGGCTGATAGTTCGGTATCCTGAATACGTCCAGACAAACACCCTCAGATGAGTGTTATGTGTTGGTATGTACTTGCGAGAAGGTTCGTAGATGTTCCAAAGCTGTATATATCAAAGAAGAGAGAAGACAGAAGCGAAGGAAGCCAACAAGCATGTATGGAAAGATGAATGGAAGAATGGAGAGGATCGAGAGGCAAGCAGGCTGGGGTGGCGGCTACTATGTAGGTGTAGGTAGGGGCCACAAGGCTTCATAAGATAGGACTACAGCAACCAAGTGGATTCAGGGCCAGGCAGGCGGGTTGGATCTAGAGAAGGCTTGGCTTCGAAAATATGACACGAGAAATCGGGGGTTGTGTGGTTCGGAATGCGAGGCCGAGAGAGATATTAGATTGAGGACGACCACCATGCGACTTGGACTGGATCCATGATCCATCCCCGGCACGTCGACCCCTTCTGCGGGATGTGCCAAAGTACTATGTAAAGGGCACCAGATTAAGGCACGGTCACAAAGACCAGGTACATACGTAAGAGGTGCAGGAGGAGGCGCAATGACAATGGCAGGGAGCCCACCAGACCCAACAGCAAGACGTCTTTTCAGCTGGGGCTGGACTGGAGAATGGCGACTACGCGATAGGGCAAAGGCGCCGGGTGGGAGAGCAATACCGCTACAACGACGACTAACGTTAGTAGGTCCCTACCGTCGAGAGCTCCAGGTAATTAGAAGGTACTTGCCGGGCGATGCCAGCTTCAGCCAACCAGCTAGGCTCTCGTCTCCAAAATAAGCGGCTTCACAGGGCAGGGGTCCTTGCAGACCGGAGTTTGGGGGAGGAGACTTGCCCAGGGCATAAGCTACCAGAGCAGCAGCGTTTGCGCCGGTCGGGATCCATCTAGGGCTCCATGCCGAGAGACGTTGCTATTCATGATTCTGGGGCAAAGTCCGTTTAATGACACGTGCGCTTGGCTACATATGTACATGGTGTGTATCCGGAGATGGTGTGGC